ATGCAAAAATATGTCATTGTCATAATTCAAAATCCTCCAAAATTTTTTGATTTAAGTAGCCCATTTCAAATAATATGTAAATTCCAAAACAGAAAATATTTTAATTCATTTAAAACACAGATTTAAGGTTTAACATAATTAACAAGTATAAATAAACATTTCTATTAGTTTTACAGACCGTGTATGGGTGAAATTTTAACACTTTTCAGATCACATGATTTCAAGTGAACTGTTGCCAGATTTTGCAAAGAGTCTTTCTTTAAAATTTGAGTATACAGTCAAAAGTCTTTAATCCGGACTTGTCGGGACTTCGGCGATTCCGGATTATAGATCATCAGTTTAAATCTGGTACGATGGCATGCAGAAATTATAAAATTAAAAATATGAAACCGTAATTTTTGAAATAAAGGGCAATTAAATGATCTAAAAGGTATCAAAATTTACAAAAAAAAAAAAAAAAAAAAAAAAAAAAAAAAGAGCTTAATATTTATTTGTTTACTTTATTAAACATTTCTTTCAATGTGCGCATGCGTAAAGCATACATTACGCATAGTCGAAATTAGAAAATTGCAACCAGAAAACTATTTGATGTGTACTCGTGATATTTATAATGACAAGGAATTTGATTTAAATCATATCAAAGACGGAATACATCGAGATGAAATAGTACATTTAGTAAGGAATTATAAGCTGAATAAAATAAAAACATCTGCCCTAAAGATAAGGATAGTGCCGACAGATCAACTTCCAGTTCATTGTGCGCCGCGACGTAGCATTCTCTACAATTAATGTCTCTTTTGCCTAATTTTGAAGTTGAATCTGACTCCTTTAAGCTTGTCAACCTGACGAAATAAATGGTTTTAATTACTGTGCATTGTCCGTGATTTAAAATGCACGTAAACATTTTTGAAAGCAAATTTATTTATTAGGTGTCTCAAAAACCTGATGTAGCCAATACATGACTTCCTTGTACAGACTATTAAATTATACACATTTTTAGCGCAAATCAGTATTCAGAAGGGCTATTAATTTTGTTTCGGCATTTTGCATTGGTTCACTATAAAAGTCTAAATCACTTTTCAAATTGTTGCCACCAAATATTAGAGCCCGGATTATATTTAAAAAAATTAAATAATGAAGAATCTGCATGAATGTATGTATGTATGTTTCTTGTATTATGAAAAAACGATGGTACCTAGAGACATCAAATTTTGAATAACATAGTTCTCCACTCAAATATGGGCATCTGGTAGACCAAATTTGGAATTTGTATTATTATCTATTTTATATTTTGTAAAACTTTAACAAATTTCTTAACAAACTCAATGATTTCAAGATTTCAAAGCATTCGATTAACACCACTTGCACCTTCATGCATGGATATTTTATGCACAAAGCTTCTTTTTTTTGTGATATTGCTGTTGAACTGAATTTTATGGATTAAGTGCAAAGAACATATTTTTAGTCCAAAGGGGCAATTTGCCCTGAAGGACTATTAATTTTATTTTGGCATTTTGCACTGAAAATTTTAAAAGGTTGTATCACTTTTCAAATTTCTGCTACCAAATATTATCGACCTGTATTATATTTGAAGAAATTAAATAATGAAGAATCTGCATAAATGTATGTATGTTTCTCACATTGTGATAAAACAACAGTACATAGAGCCATTGAATTTTGAAAGATGTCACCTTATTGCAAATATGGAGATGTGGAAGCCCAAATTTGAAATTTGTTTTATCAAACTCAAGGATTTCAAAGCGAGCAATGGCAACATTGTACAGAAAAAACATTTATCTGAAACCTTTCAGATTCCCTCCCCCTCTGTCCTTTATTTAAACTTCTGTCCTCAAATTATTCTAACTTAACCCTCTGGTTAATCATTCCGCAGGCATAAGTTTTTCTTCCTTTATCGAGGAGCGCATCCTGTTTTTATCTCGTTTAATGATTGAAATAAATTATATACTGTATTAGGCATTTAGTTTACCTTTTGGCCAACAGATATCGTTAGTCGTCCACTAAATTGCAGCATTTGAAGACACGTGGTATTAGTGCTCAAACTTCACTTTTTGTCACTTTTTTCTTACAGAAATGGCTGCTAGAAAATGTTCAGCAATTATCTTGATTATTTAATTTATTGAATCTGGTGCAAAAACTGTTGGACTTTGCCTTGAATGCTGTTTTGAACTCTATTATACTAAACTGCATTTCTAAGGTATTTTTCCCTCAGCGCTCTATATTTTCTTAAATTTTACTTTTTTATATTATGCAATAAATAGAAATTAACTGTAATTCGACTGAAATTTATTAAAAAAAAAAAAAAACTTTTTTTGAGGGGGGGGGGACACACCACAATTTTGGAAGCGATTTCGGTCCACAAATTGAGCAGTCAGAGGGTTAATTAACTGATCTCTCAAGGCAGGTTGCAAATGACATAAAAAATTGCAGAGTAAAACTTCTTATAATTTTAGTCACATAACGAGTATAAAACTTCCCCAAGAAACCGAACCAGACAAATGAGATTTCATTATTTGCCAAAATGAATTTTTTCTAAGAAAATTTTGTCAGCTCAAACATGAATATTTTCTTCATTTAAAGCACTTCTGTAATTGTAAGTATATGACTAGAACCAATAATTGCGAAAATAAAGGCCGGGCAAGGAGGTGGTATATGTATACAGTATAAAGTCCGTAATCCGGAATGATCTATAAACCGGATTTCAAAGCCACAAACTTTTTTTTTTTTTTGTATGCTTTGCACATGCGCATTTAATGTATAACGGATGGTATAAGCTAGGCTAAAATTATCTTTACTGATTCTAAGGCATATCAGTTAATGTTGCAGATTGCACTGTTCCTTAATCTTCTAATTGGATCTGGCTTATTATTTTTTGCAGACTGTCAGAGCAATTTTATAAAAATAATGCTTGAACTTAATTGAGAACTTCCCAATTCTGGAGCTGCCAAAGGATCTACAAAGCGAAAGCATGTTTCGATGTCCATCAAACAAAAAGTGGAATTGCTGCAAAAAATGGATAAATGCATATCTGTCTCAAAATTATGCGAGGAATATGACACTGGAAAGTGAACTGTATATGACATAAGCAAAAAGAAAAAGGAACTTTTTGAATGTTTTGTGGATTTCAACACCCCACTTGCAATGAATAACAGAAAAAGGGTTCGTTATGCTAAAAGTGGCAATCATGACAACGTGATGATTGAATGGGTCAGACAGTTTCGCAGCAAGAGCGTGCCATTGACGGGTCCAATGCTAATGGCTCAAGCCAAAATATTTCATGAAGAAATGAACTTAAACACCGAGTGCACATATTTGACAGGTTGGTTAACCAAATTTAAAATTGCCATGGTATAAGACAATTAAAAATTTCCGGTGAAAAAGCTTTAGCTGATACTGAAGCTGCTGAACAATTTGCAGATGAATTCATTGAACTCATTACTAGTGAACAATTATCCCCAGAACAAATTTACAACACTGATGAAACTAGTCTTTTCTGGAAATATGTACTGTGAAATGCATTGGCAACCTCTACAGAAAAGGCTCCAACTGGTGTCGAAGTTTCCAAACCGAGACTAACAATTTTAGCGTGCACAAGTGCAAACTTTTCGTAATCGGAAAACATGCACGATCTCGAGCATTTAAAAGAGTTACGATTTTCCCCGTTATATATCACGCAAATAAAAGAGCATGGATGACACAAGCATTGATGAATGATTACTTTGAAAATCCTTTTATACCAGAGGCTCAGCGGCATTTGAATTCGGTTGGTTTACCTGATGATTCAAAAATAGTCCTGATTGTTGACAACTGTTCAGCGCATACTTTACTTAAAGCCTTAGTGAAAGATAATGTATCCCATCCAAATTGTACGTTGTAATGTATTTTGCAGTAATTTACAAAACAATCTTCTTAGTAGAACATAAATTTTATTTCTAGTTCACGGTGATAGACAAATTTTATACAATTCTTAAGTGGCAAAATTTTCATCCTACTCCTAGCTGTAAAATCTTCAGAATACTAATCTTTTTTTAACAATATCTCTCGTTGCTGAGTAACGGTTTGATACAAATATGGCGTTGCCACTTCAACAATAATTATACTTATTTATTAAATAGCAAGATATTACAATGTCTATCATTCAGCCTATGGATATAGTGCACGTGCTGAAATGCAAATATAAGTAGCATTTAAAAAATATATGTTAAATTTCCTGAACAATTCAAGACTTTTTGAAATTTTTTAGTATAAAATCTGTGTGGAGCATCGCAAGATCGTGGGAGGATGTGTCCCCAGATATGTTAAAATATGCTTGGCATAATTCATGGCCAGCTACCATATTTCATGGTGAGGACGATGAAGATGATAGCCGCAAATTTGAAGGTTTTCGGACATCACAAACTAAAGGTGAAATTCTTCAGTTATTGGATTTTGTAAAAAAACGTGGAGAAGTGGTAATAAATGAATAGAAGTTTTTCATTGTAACAACAATGCCCCAATCATCAATCAATTAACGGACAGCGAAATCTGTAGTATGGTTCTAGACTCAGAAAATACCACTTCCGAGAGTGAAGAAAGTGACAGAGAGGTTACTGAAAACGAAAAAATTTCGATTGACAAGTTAGTTGGTATTCTCAACACAGCAATTACAGGACTTGAACGGTGGAACTTTGTAACTGAACAAGAAATTATGTCTATTTATAGAATTAAAGTATTAGCACAAAAAACGAAGCAACTTAAACAACTTACATTGAAAGAAATGTTTACTAAAGTAAACAAATAAATATTAAGCTTTTTTGGGTAAATTTTGATACCCTTTAGATCATAATTGCTCTTTATTTCATAAATTACGGTTTTATATTTTTAATTGTATAATTTCTGCATGCCATCTTACCAGATTTAAATTGATGATCTATAATCTGGAAAAACCCCTATCTGGAATCGCCGAAGTCCCGACGAGTCTGGATGAGACTTTGTACTGTACTTGGTATGCTGATTGCAATAAAAAGAGGAGTTGCACAACTAAATGTTATAGCAGTCCCATATACAAAATTTGAATGTTCTATGGCTAATCGTTTATAAATTATATGAGATATACATATGTACATATGCAGAGATGTCAAAATAAAACCCTTTTGAATCCTTTTACAAGCTATTTTTGAAACAAAGAGTCCTTTATTCTGTCCATACGTACAGACATCATACACAAAACTCATCCAAATGGATTTGAAAATGGTCAAAATGAATATTTTCATTCAAAGATGATATCTAAATTTTCCATGATTACTATACTTCACAAAAGAAAGTAAAAAAGTTCAAATGTGATGAAGTTCATCGAGAGGGTAAAATACTTGTTCAAATGCCTGTTAAAAAAAATTATTCAGAAATAAATTCAAGACAAGCAATTTAACATAAAAATCTTCATTTAACATTAAGGAAATTAATTTAGATTTTAGCATTTAATATTCTATTGCATTCCATTTATTTAATTTTCTCCTGCACTTGAAAATAACGTACACGGTCTTTGAAATATAGAGTGTCTGAATCAAATGTACCTATTTTGAACAGTTGATTAAAAACAAAGTTTTAGTGCTACGAGGGCAATATTGGCCACATGTGGGAGCTGAATTCATAGAGTTTGGCAACAATATTTTTTCTCGTGTCTGACACACCTGCGCTTTTGCTAAGCCAGCAAACGGAAAAATGGTGTCACCCCAAGAGAAGGCACAAACTGTTCTCTGGTATGCAGAACACAAATCCATAGTAAAAGTGTCACAGAATGTTTCAAACAGTTTATAAAAGAAATCTACACCAGGCTAAGAGCATAAAAAAGTGGCACAAAATGTTTCTAGAAACGGGAAGTGTGCGAAAAAGATCCGGAGGTGATCGGCATTCACATTCTGATTCACGAGCGGAAGATGTTCGACAAGTTTTCGTTCGGAGCCCTTGTCAGTCAATCAGGCAGGCAGCTTCTGAATTATCTATGCCACGATCAACTATTCATATGCGCAACATCGAAAACTGAGGGTGCACGCATATATAGGTTTTGATTCGGACACCGTGTACATTGTTATTTTGCACATAAGAATATCTTCAAGTATGGTAGTTACAAAAATTTTATGAAATAATATTGAAGTTTTCAAGAAATCAATTTCATAATAATTCTGTGATCCTGATAACAAAAGATAATTAACACCTGTTAAAAATATTCAGAAGTTCAAAATAAGCAATTACATTTTACAAAAATTTCTTCATTTAATATTAAGAAAAATAATTCAGATTATAGCATTTACCCTTCTATTGTATTATATTTATTTAATTTTCACCAATACCTGAAAATAACCTGTACACTCTTTGAACCATATTGATATTTTGTATATAAGAATACCTTCAGGTATGGCAGTTGTAAAAATTATTATGAAACTAATAGCTAAGCTTTTAAGAAATCAATTTTACAACAATTCTGAGAACTTGATACCAAAAGATAATTAAAATATTATCATCACCACATCAAAACTTTGAATCTGCATATTTAATCTGTATATTAATATACATATGCATAAATGTTTTAGAGTGTTTTTCAATATTCTGCTCAATACTAAATCAGAGAAATACATACAGAAATGCTACTTAAAGATCCTAACTTAAGTTTCCTCAAAAGCAAGCATATGCAAGTAAAATATTTTAATTCTTCTTTAGTAGGAAATATCCAGACATTTATGCATATAAACGCATGGTTGAGTTTCATCCAAAAGAAATTGGAAGAAAGGAACAACAATGCATCTGTGGAGTTGCTTAAAAAAAGATAAATTACTAATAACTAGTTAATTTACTTGAAAACATGTGTTTTATTATTTCTGTAATAAAATGCCAAGTAATTAAATAATTTTCTCTAAAAAATTCCAGTGATAAGTGCAATAGATTTTTTATTTATTTACTGATGATAGATTTTGTTCTGAACAATGAAATGCAACAAGAAACCGGATAATAACAAAAAATAATGATCTATTACTTTTTGTGGTATTTTTTAATCAGAGAGTGCACCATTTGCAGAACCTTACTTTACTGATACCTTTTGCAATGTCTTAGAATTCTGCTGTATGTGGAAAAGAACACATCCAATTTCTGAGCTTCTACATAAACAATGTAATAGAATGAGATAATTTGAAGTTCAGCAGTATTTGAACAAGTTTTCTCTTCTTTCAAATTTATCCATTCAGAATTACAAAACAGATTATTGCATACATGAGCATTAAAAAAAATCTGTTTTGCTATATGTTACAATGCATTAATGAGGATGCAGATTCAATTTTGTATTAATTAAAATAATTCTTTTTTCTGTTCTTTTTAAATACATATGTCAAATCTCTATTTTTATTACTATTAGAAAGTGAAACTGAGTTTCAAAATCCATACAAACTCATAAATGTGAGAAATACATATATATTACCAACAATCATAAACAATATAATAAGCTAAACATACAAGGAAAAAAAAAAAAAAAAAAGGAACATCTCCAATTTCTAAAAAATATTCCGTTTTGACAAGTTATGTCATATTCTTTGTAAATAGACAGAGAAAGGCCATTTCATTTATTAAAGCACAGTGAGCATTTCACTCATTGGAATTTTTCCTATTTCACTCGACTACACATCTGTTACTTTTTCTAACTGCAGATGATTTTACAATCTGATCTAAGGTCACATAATTTCCTTGTATTACTTGTTCACATATTTATCAAGATTAAAGAGATTTATAATTTTTCTTTTACATTTTTATGATAATAGGAAACTTGTGGAAGTTTGCCTTTCCCCTTCCAATAGGACTCTTGCAGAAAGCATTTGTTTCAAAATGGTTAAAAAACATGAATATTTAATTATCTCAATGAATTCTTCAGGATGTGACACAGCGGGCAGATTGAAACCATGCCAAAACGAAAGAGTGGAACACATACATACAATCAAACCGCACGAATCAAACTCACATCCTTGATTTCAGTATAATAGTCAAAATCCATAAAAAATTATATCATTCAAGGCACCAAGGAAACTGATTTCCAGTTAAGAATTCTGAAAATGTATAAAATCATTTTAAAAATTTTATAACAAAATTTTTTTTGAAGAAATTTAATTATGAAACTCAGCAGAATTTCCCACTACATTGAGCAGAGAATGCTGGCTAGACTAGACAATTTTGTTACGAGTAGGTGCAAAGGATTATTCTTATTATCTTTCAATAATGAAAATAGAGCAAAAATTTAAAAAAAAAAAATCAATTATATACATTATAAACTATTTGAATAAGTTGTATTAAGAATTATATCAATCAGAACTGTAGCTTTCAATATTATAGTAAAATTTTGGGGCTTACATGCTGTCAGTCATTCCAAGAAAACACATTAATTTTTGGATTGGAATCAAGAAAGAATATTTCCTTTTGTCACAAATTTCAAAAAATATTTGTTCATTTTAAAACAACTGATTTAAGTGAAAAACTAGTTCATGATTTTTGACTGCTTTAAAAAATAAACATTAGAACATGTTGGACATTACAAATAACTTTCACTTTTACCATTTCAAGTGCGAGTGAAATATGGAAGTGTAAACAAACATGATTATTTCGCTGATTACTCAATACAAGTTCACCAGTTAAAACTTTTGCAAAAGTCACTATTTATTACTACTACTACTAATCATAATATTAGCAACCTACCAATGTACAATGTAAAGTTAAATAAAAAAGTAACTGTAGATTGATGCTGAATTAACACGTTCATGTCGGCATGGGATACCAGTGGCCCACACTAGCCTGTCTCATCGGGCGGCACGTACCACCGGTGGCCCGCAAAGTCAGTCTTATCGGGCGGCACGTGCCACCGATGTCACACATTTAATTGTGTTATTAGATGCTGAAAATTAAAATAATGAAAAATTAGCATTTATTTATAAAAACTTTTTAATAACGATTATAATTAATAACTATTAGCAAACTTACAACTCGTATACAGGTCTCAGCAGGTAATAATCACGCGCCACCAGACGAAACGTGGCAAAAATTCGAGCGTCGTCTCACGGCGAAGAACATTTAAATTGGCCCCAGCGTGAACGTGTTAAAATAAAACTCTTACCAGTTTTTGGTGATAATCAAATACCAGGGTTCGTACACATTTCCTTACATGAAAATTAAGGACTTTTAAGGACCATCAAAGAAAAAATTAAGGACCTATCAGCAAAAAAAAAAAAAAAAAAAAAAAGGAATAGAATAAAGCAATTATCCATACAACCGACTTCATGCTTGTAATTTCACTTTAAGAAACTAACAGAAGTGTGTATTATGCACTATTATTAAATTCACTTTAATACTTACCATAAAACAATTTTGAAAATTAAACTAACTCCCTACAAGTTATGAAGTAGATAACATTAAATTAGGAACATAATTTCTTTAAAAACATGTATAAGTGTATTTTACACTAATAACAGTCACTATTTTAGAGATTTACATGATTATTTTATTAACTTATTTGATATTTATTTAAACACAGTCAACTACTATTATAATTACAATGTAAGAATATTTTGCAGATTAAAATAACTGATTTGTAAACATACAATTTATTTCCTTGGTTTTTTGAAAGATACTAGAATAATAAACTGTACAATAAAAGATACAAAACATTTGTGCTTTTTTTAAATCTGAAATCTTTTCAGCTATTTTAACATCTAATTTATTTATGTCTATTTCCTTTTCTTTAACTATTCTTCTAAGTTCATTTGCTTTGATAAACAAATCAATGTTCATGCTGGTCTCAGCTTCATCTGCTAAAGCATCTACTTCTTCATTAATATCTTTAATGTCCCTTTGAAGAAATTTTTTCTTCTGCTTCATATAATCAATTTCTTCCTCAATGATATTTCTTTTCCTCTTTGAATTTTCAGATTTAGTTAAAGATTTTTGTTCTTCTAAATACTGCATATATTTAGACCTTGCAGAAGCTGCTGCTGATCTCATTTCTTTATTAATTTCGATATTAAGAACACCTCCAGAAAATTTTATGTAATCAAATACTGTGCGTTGAAAATGTATGATGAGTCCCTTAAATTTTCAATTTCAATTGCTTTATTTACAGAGAAGCCCCTTTCCACAGAGGCCTGTCCATGTGACAAGATAAGAATCATTTTCACTATTTTCCATACTTTTGAATAGTGAAAATCATGAAAATAAGAAGTGAGAAATGTGTCAAGAGAAAGATTTTGAGGATCAAAAGTAGAAAATTCATGTAAATTTGTCTTAACTACTTTGTCTAGAAACTCTCCAAACTGCAGCAGAATTTCATCCCAATCATCTTGTAAAACACGTTTATTCTGCATTAATACCGTTAGAACTATTTTCATTTTGTTCTGGGCTTTTTCTGGACTTTTAACCATCAATCGCGGGTCTATACAAGATGCATTTCGAATAAGAGAATAATTTATTGGACATTTAGACATTAAGTGTTGTACCATTGTTAAGACACATTGTTGACCTTCTGTTTTCAATGCAAAACTTTCAGCTTGTGAAATGTCCTTCTTGCGGCATTTATCATTCATTAACTGCTCAGCAATGAATCCCAAATAAACTTTACTTTTATCATTATAACAATTTGGATCATTAAAATTAAATTTATAAAGATTTTCTGCTTTAGTTATTTTTTGAATATTCTAGTTTCAAAATTTTAAAGTGCTGAAGGCAATCATTTACAAGTTTTAAGATATCTTCAGCAAAAAAGGGAATAAGTGGTTTTTATCACTTTGATAATATTCAAGGAAAGGCAATAATATTTTCGACAGAGAGAGAAAAAAATTTAATTTTATAAGAAATGTTTTATCTTTAGTTGCCTCCAAAATATTTGAGAAGGATTTCGATGAATTTTTTTTTAAACTTCCCCATTTCAACTTCTTTTTAATGTACAGTAGCAAGTCATCCCATATTTCAATGGCTCTTTCAACTGCTGGGACATTTTGCAACCATCGGTAAAAGCAGAACTTCACAGGTAGCTTTTTTAAGCCAGATATACTTAAAAAATCTTCACGTCTTGCAGGAGAATCTTTAAAAATCCAATATAAGGAGGATAAGAATGATGGAATGTCCCAGCCAGTGGATGACATCCTATGCTTGAAAGCATTGTTAAGAATGTGTAAACCACATGTCCCTAATGTCAAGCATTGAATGTATATTCCTTTGTCAAGTCCTGTTGCAATAAATCATAAAATTTCCAGTTTACTGCAGGACCATCCATCGATATTTGTAAGAGTTTTGACAAGTCTAGTTTTTCAACACATTCATAAAATTTGGATAAAATAATTTCACTTGTTGCATGCCCTATAAATGCAGAAGTAAGGTACTAAGTTCTGACCTTATTTTCATGGTCTTACCTCACATGAATATCTAGTTGCTTCTTTTGATTTGTCAGATTAAGAGTCTCATCAAATAGTAATGTAAAAAACTCAGCATTTTTACAATGCTTTAGTAACAAAGTTTTAAAATAAGGGCCAAGACCAAAATAACAGATATAAGCACATTTCTTTTCACCACATGAAAACTATTTTGCAATGGAACTATCCGGGAACATTTTAGTGAATAACGGCCCAATATCATCGCACGATTTAAAAGAATAGTGGCTTTTGATGCACTTAAAAGCCCACAATATTTCTGCATCTGTAACTTCAGATTTGAAAAGAAAAGAATTGATTTTATTATTTTCTACACTTATTGATGTTGAATTAGCAGTTACATCTTTTCCTGAAGTAGATGGTTCTTCTAACTTGACAAAATTCATGATACTGTTAGAAGAAACTCTGCAGTTGAGAAGGGAAAGATGTTTTGCAGCTAAAAGGGGCATTACATGCAAGGCATTAGTAAAATTAAGTATCGCATATATATGTATATATGTATATATATATATATATATATATATAATAAGAAATGTATACTGAAAATATACATTTTTTTACTATATATATACAGTACAAATTCCGAGATCCGGACATCCAATATCTGGAATGATCTAAAATCCGGACCTCAAAGCCACCACCAACCAATTTTTTAGGGCTTTTTTTGGAGGGAAGGGGTATGCTTTACGCATGCGCATTAGATTTTTTTCCTCATCATAAAAAAACATGCCGGAAATCCCGATTCTTAATCTCAGTTTGGCGCTAAATAAAATATCTCATTATTGAAGAAATAATTATTTTAGCATAAATTTGTGTGATTAGTAACTTGACTCCATAGCTGCGTATCTGCTTGGCAACATTTGTTAATTTTACAAGAAATTAATATTTTATATCCTTGATGCCGAAATCGCGAATCATTATTTATTGTATTTTGCTTTCATCACCGCATGTTTATCAACGGATGACAACTTGAGTGATGACTCATGCAGCGACGCCAAATAACAAAGCATTATCCGAATACAGATTTAAGTTTAATGCGCTAAAATGTTGACAAGGGGAGATTTAACAGAAATTTCTTTCCTTATGCTGAAAATAGATTTTGTTAATGATACTCATAGGACAAACGATTATATTTAGTGCTATTTGAATTAAGAATAACTGATTTGTTATTCACATAAAGCCAGAACCAGCGCCAGAGCTCGCATGGCCGCACCAGGCGGCAGAATTTAGGGAAGTTAAAAACGAAGTTTTTCATTGCGATGACAATGCCCCAATCATCAATCAATTAACGGAGGGCGAAATCTGTAGTATGGTTCTAAATCCAGAAAAATACAGCTACCGATAGTGAAGAAAGTAACAGAGAGGTTACTGAACGAGAAAAATTTTGATTGACAAGTTATTCGGAATTCTCGACACAGCAATTACAGGACTTGAACAATGGAACTTAATAACTGAACAAGAAATTATATGTCTATAGTATTAGTCTAAAGTATCAGCAGAGAAAACAAATCAAACAACTCACATTGAAAGAAATGTTTAATAAAGTAAACATATAAATATTAAGCTCTTTTCTTTTGTAAATTTTGATACCCTTTAAATCATAAATGCTTCATTATTTCATAAATCACGATTTCATATTTTCAATTTTATAATTTCTACGTGCCATCTTAGTAGATTTAAAATGATCTAATATCCGGAAAAATCTCAAATCTGGGATCGCCGAAGTCCCGAAGTCCCGACCTCGGACTTTGTACTGTATAATATATATATATATATATAATACGGAATGTATATTTTCAGTTAAACTTCTACCCAATAACTTTTTAGTAATTCATGAAAGTTAATTTTGCGTCTAGTTAATTCAGGAAAATTAGTTTCAATTAGTTGTTTTCAGCTTTAAAAATATTAAAATTTTTTTTAATTAGTTAGTTGTTTTCAACTAATAATTGTATCGCCATTAGCAAAAATAATGCATTACTATCAACAGCACAGGATTAAACCAAATACTTAATTGTCTATTGAAGCTTCAAAACGTATTTCCGAACTTCACTTTTTCTCGGCTAACGTTACCGAATTTGCCCTTGGCGACCTAAAATCGAAATGGAGCCAACAGATTTCCCGCGAAATCGATAACAGACCCTCTGCAGAAATAAACTCATAATCCCGATATCCCATACATATAGTATGTGCAAAAGAGAATAAACTCCGTAGAAGGTGATAAAAAATTAATTTATGGCTTAATTGAAACAAACACAGAAATTAAGCTAAGCAAAACCGTGTAAAAACAAATTGAAATGATAAAACGAAACTTAATTTTCATGTGAATTTTCAGCGCTGACTCTCCCATTATAGAAATTTCAATTTGTTTCAAACAAAGACCACATTTAGCTTTATAAGGATTGTCATCCATCAATATCCAGTCTTTGTAGTCAGCTTGATGAAGCCACAGTTTATTGAAAATGCACTTTCCAGGCATCTCGTTCCTATTGGCGTCGGAAGGGTTGTGGCCTTCCAGGTTGGAATTGCTCTAATTTTGGCAAATATTTTCAGAATCCCCCCCCTTTTTTTTTTCTCGAGCACCTTCATCATCACTTTCGCCTCTTAAAGAACTTCCGGCTTCACGCTTTCGTCACAATCTGCCTAAATTTATGGATAACACCTGTTTCGAAAGATTGGGTGAATAGCCAATCAGACACCGATACTTTCGTTCGGGTAGCTATTTAATTTTTTTTTTTTTTTTTTTTATCGTTTGCAACGCAAATCCGCCAACAGATTGGTTAAGAGCCGTGCAATTTTAATTCCATATTCATGAGAAATCGCAATTCACACATAGAATGGCAATCATTAGAAATGATAAGAAATGTCAAATGAGCAAAATTAAGGACCGTTTATTCATTTTGTCCAAAATTAAGGACTTTTAAGGACCAAAAATCATTTTTGAAAACATTAAGGACTTTTAAGGATCGTACGAACCCTGAATACAGCTCCCTTTTCTTTAAGAGCAACATTTTGTTTCCTCAATTTCATGATGCCTGATATATATATATATATACTTCTATTTATGCTTTGCATAACTGCAAGAAACTTAAAAACACCCAATACTGTGTTAATGTTTTTTTTTACATAGGATTTTTAATTCCAACTGCTTACCTAACAGCCATGTTTTAAAGGTGTTACCCTCAAATATCAATGACTAACATCTTTATAGAATATGTTTTCTGGCTTTGTGGATAGCAAATTTATTTACACTGGTTTAATACATAACTGCAAGTCTTAGAATTATTTGAACCAAAGGCATAGCAAAAGGAAAATTGTGATCCAAGAATAAACATAAAATTCTGATTTTAAACTTTCACCCAACAAGAGAATATGCAGGGAAAATTTACCTTATGATGAATGACATAATTTAAAGTAGTTCACAATAATTATGCATTTATCAGACGTCTCCTTTCTTCTACATCCCGTCTTAATGATCTTGGCGATGTACTACCTATTCTAGGTAAATTTCGCGCTCTGGATATTAGTCTCTCAAATCCAGCACCTCTGGGTCTAAAGAAAGGACCACCAAACATTAAAAACATATATGGAACTTTAAATAATCGTTTATTAATTTATTTCAAACAATTCTATAACATATAACTTCTGAATTAATCATAACAAATGAAACACAAATTTTGTATCTAACCCTTTAAAGACAAATATAATTAATTCTATGATCATCTACATCTTAATTGTAGTACTTTACAAATATTGTTCATTCCATAGACCTTTATTTATAGAGAGAAAGTGTCTAAGTTATTCAACAGTCAAAACTTAAGAAACTTCCCTTAACTGTCAAGCAAAATATAATTATCAGACATACACTGGAAATTTTCAAGAATTTCATACTACAGTAATAAATTTTAAGATTATTTAATTTCTATGTTATTATTAAATATGCTAATTTTGTTACTAAAAAAAGGAAAAGTGAGGAATATTGTAATTTTTGATTATGTGCCTAAAAGCTGATGATAGTAGATGAGAGGAAGAATATTTTCAACAAGGTAAGAAGTTTCGATTTTAACCAGAATGGTATTCATAGACATGAATGAATGAATACTGACTAGAAAGGGAGAAACCAATATCCCCCCCTTAAGCACAGGATTATATCAGTAATCGCACAGTCAAATTGGACAAAGGTTGAATGCACTAACTAAAAACAGCTAATAGACTAGACTTTTTTTTAAAAATAAATTTCACTTACTAAATACTTATCAAAACATATATAAAAAAACAATAATAAGAACACAAAGGAAAAGCTTTAAATTTATATTAAATTTCTATCAGAAATCTAAAGGTTGGTACCTAGAAGAAATTTATGTTTGTTGCGCTTTGGCAATTCAAATTTATTGACAGCTAATAATTAAATTTTCAAACCAATATCCACTTCAAAAAATTCCGATATGCTGAATCAACCACTAAATAACTTATTTAAAACAAACAGATTAAGAAAACTTTTTCAAGTGGGTCAAACCTTGAGAATAAATAATGACCACCTATTTATTCTCTTATATTTATTAAACTTTTCTTTGAAACATTAAATAGATAGATATGTTTGAATGCGAATAATCATACATTTTGTTTGTTACAACAAAATGACACTTGCTGGCATTTTGATTCTGATAAAATTTGCAGAAAATTGTTGCAAGGAAACTACTACAAACTATCTTCATCATGAATTCTAGATGCACATCTCTCAGCTGGGTTTTCATAAATTTTCAATTAAGAAAAATGCTATTCACATATAAATATATTTTCAAACAAAGTGAAACACTTTTCTTACTGCAAAAGTTCATTACTGAGGACATTTATATTTTGACTAGTATGAATACAAATTAGTCAAAACTGCATCTTCAGATCTTTGACTAAGATTTATACATCACACAGCAAATTAAATAATTGCAAATTAGTTTGCTCCATTTGGTAGATTTTCTAATGCAAGATCCATGTTTGTTTTTAATGGTGATGAGAGTAATATCAAATCGGATTTAAAATTATTATCACTTTCTTAAAATTCCTGCATATTAATGCTATTTTTCTTGCACATTTTTTAGATTTTTTTCATTTGAAATAATGTGGCAGGTTTTAACCACTTAACTGTTTGATTTTCCTGCCATATATTCATTGTGAAAGAAAATCGTGGCAGTGGTGGAGGAAGATTACTAGTATTAATTTTACAAAAGTTCCGAACCTGAATTAGATCAGAGCTCTCCGTTTCCTCCTCATCACTAGAGAATTCCATTAAAGAACTTTCAGGACTACCAGAATCATTTATAGAAAATTCAGATTTGCTATCTGATCCAATATCAGAATTATACTTTGTTATGAGCCATGCAGATTTAAAAGAATGTCACCCATTGTTCTTTTATTTCATGAAAAAATTTGAAAGGAAAAATATTCAAAAAGCCTAATACACTGAACAAGTGCAAACAAACTCATTGAATTTCTCCTCCTAAAGAAAAGCAGTAAAACCTATCCTTGAACTGATTTGACAATCTAATCTCTCCTGGACTACTAGAGAGACTGCAAAGTAAAAAATGTAAAAAAGTCGGGAATACCGGTGGTGTAGGGAAATACACTCCCCTAGTGTTGTACATCAAAAAGATCCCTTTTCACAGCACCCGAATGGTGCTCGGGCAAAACAGTTAAGTAGTTAATATGCAGGAAATGTGCATTAAAAAAAAAAAAAAAATCCAGTTGTGTTTTCCACAGCTACAATTTAACTTAAAAAGCTTTAATACATACATTCATAATGATAAATTTATTCTTTCCTTGCAACTCCTTAATGATTGGTTAAACCAAAAGAATGCTGGTTCATGTACGATCATATAGTGACAAAGGCCGAACCTATTTATTTATTTCATCTATTTTTTCTGTAATAGTAGTCATGCACCTGAGTTCAATCCATAGCTCTATGTTTCCTAAAATACATGCATCATACTTACAACAAATAAATATTTGAAATGTTTTTGCAATCAATGCAAAACTGCTTCAGGGGCTGCCAGCTTGAAATCACTGTTTTATAACACAAAACAACATAATTTTAAGATCTGAATGCTAACATTTGTTGAAGTTTAAGTAGATGATGTCTAAAATGTCCTCTATCTGAAAAACATTTCTAAGATCAAAATAAAATTAATTATATTTGTTTATGCTTAAGAAATAAGATGACTCACAGTAGTACAATTACACTATCAGCATAACTGCAAGAAATTTTAAATAATAATAATATTTTCACACAATACTGTGTGTATGCTTACTTAAATAGAATTTTTAATCCATGTTTTATTATTATTCCAGATTTTTCTCATCCTATAGCCATGGTGTTATTAGTTGCTTACCTAACAGCCATATTTTAAAAGAGTTACCCTGAAATATCAAGGACTAACATCTTTATAAAATATGTTTTCTGGCTTTGTGGATAGCAAATTTATTTACACTGCTTTAATACATAACTGCAAGTCTTAAAATTATTTGAACCAAAGGCATGGCAAAAGGAAAACTGTGATCCAAGAATAAACATAAGATTCTATTTCTAAACTTTCACCTAACAAGGGAATATGCAGGAAAAATTTACAACAAATAAATATTTGAAATGTTTTTGCAAGCTACGTAAAATTGCTTCAGGGCCTTCCAGCTTGAAACCACTGTTTTATAACACAAAGCAACATAATAATAACAATATTGGCATTAAGAGCATTAATAAGCTCTTAATGCCAATATTTGTTGAAGCTTAGGTAGATTATGTCTAAAATGTCCTGGACACCTACCTGAAAAACCTTAATAAGATCAAAATAAAATTAATTCTATTTGTTTATGTTTAAGATTTCAGATGATTTTCAGTAGTACATATTACACTATGAAAATTTTTAGAGTGAATAATGAGCTTTGGTTATGGAAGGGGAGAAATGGAATGAGTTTTGAACAAAATGACAAATTTTATGCTTTTATTAGATTAGCAAGCACATTTATTTGCCAACACAAGAATTATGTTTTATTTAAAGAAATTTCTATAAACAAATACAGTTCTTTTGCTCTTTATGTAAATTTTATTACATAAGCTGACTTGGTTAAATAAAGATCCTACCACTTAAAATATCATCTTAACAACAAATAAAAAAAAAAAAAAAAAAAAAAAAAACCTGGGATTTGAAACAGAAACAATATCTCCTAATAAATTTCTCAGTTTATTTCATATCAAAAAGTTTGAAGCATGTTTAAAAAACCCTTGAAGATAATGATGAAAATTTAAACACATTTTTTTAAGCTTTCCATTAAGCTCTTCATGTAAGGTACACAGCAGTATTATGCTGAACATTACTTTAAACATTCAAATTAAATGCTCAGTTGCAAATAACAAAGTCTTCCAATCAGAAGTGAAAATCAATACAACATACTGAAATCCTTCTGTATAACTAAAAAGGGTTAAGCATGAACAATTAAGCATGAACTTTTCACCCAAAGGATACAAACTGTATCTGATGATAATTAATTTAAAATACAACAGATCTGATGACAAATTACAACCACCACAAAATTTAGATTAAAACATTATAGAAAACAATCACATCTGCAAAGCACAGATACAATAGAAGCCTTTGGCAGGCACAATGGCATCCTTTTGTCTTATGTGATGAGCCTTATTTATGGTTAAAATGTAATAAATCAATATTTAGAAGAAGTCTGGCAATACAGGTATTTCAGCATACATCTTGAACATCAATCATATAGAATGAATCCCTTGTGTCATGGAATGGTAAGTCTTTAACAGTATTAAGTCCATAATTTTTCACTGTTACTGGAATGCCGCAGACTGCAAGAGGGCATGGCCAAACTGTAGACTTTACTTCCATACTACAACAAGATAATGGAAATCCAGTTTTTAAATATTGACACTAGAAAACACTTTAATTAGGGAGCTGATGCAGGAATCTATTGTAACTATTTTGCATTGTATAAGGCAGTGGGAAGAGATACTACCAATTCTGATAGTGAAGTTGAGACTATATTTATTGCTTCGAATCAATTAAATGCTCGGGAGAGTAATTTCCCTCAGGCTGTTATTTTCTCCAATAGTAAAGCCGCTTTGCAGGCTGCAGGCTATCTCCAACAATAAATTTTGCACTTCCCAATGAATTTACCAATGCAGGAAGATTCTCAACTCTCTGGCTGACTCAATTGTCTTGTAGTGGATTCTTGCTCACTGTGGCACTGAGGAAAATGAAAGAGCCAATTTCCTGGCAAAGAAAGGAACAACTATTCTACAACCACTAATAACCAAATGATTTTTAGTTTCAAAACTCCTAATTAAATTAGAATTTAAGAAGAGATTTGCCTCCTACCTATCAAATGAAGCTAAGGGAAAGGCCTGGGAGTGCCTCACCAGTTCAAAGCCAGTTATTCCAGATTTTCCTCGTCCTATAACCATGGTGTTATTAGTTTTTAACTGGGCATGATTGTCTGAATGCCCATCTTTTTAAAATTCGACTTACAGACTCTTCAGTCTGCACTCTTTGCAACTCTGAACAGTCCATGGATAAGGAGCATATTGACGAATGCACTGAACTATTAGCTTTTAATTCTATTGTTCTGAAGTATTGGGAAGCAAGATTAAGGCTAATAGCTTGGTGGCCAAATGTCTGGCATTTGTATAAATAAATAAATAAATAAATAGGACACTCATAGGTGTGTCTTCACAATAACACAACCAAGTTCTCTTTCATCAGCATTCAGTTTAACAAAGCTTCGATTAATCAAACATATATATATCACTAGGTAATATCATATATCTTTTGGTAATTCAATGAAAAAAATGAATGATGTGATAGCAAAGATGCATGAAGCATACATATTTGTCCTGCCTTGAATATGATATTCAACACATTCCCTTCTTTAGAAAAACCAGAAAGAATATTTTTGTTTTGGATTTTGAAACCATAAAATTTTAAACTATATTTATTACATGCATGAATCCACAAAAACCAAGCTACCATTCAAGCAGCTTTTGGAAGGTGCGATTCCAACTGAAGGTATATATTTTAAATTAATGGGGTGGGTCTTTTGAAGATTATTTAAACCACTGAAAGAATAATACCTAAAAGTAATGCTAATTCAAAGCAAGAAAAATATTTTGGACATTTCAATTTCCATATTATTATAATGGTTATAGAGGGGAAGGGGAAATCAATTTTGTTATTCTTTGGGACCCTTTTCATAAAAGCACTAAATAAAAAAAATTTCCAGTTTATAGAGTAGTAAGATTCTTAATTTTACAGTAGATGTGGCAATCAACCAGTTTGTGAATGACAGATAAGCTGGAAATAATACTGAAACCATGAATACATTTACCTAAATCAAGCATAACATACGTTTCCCCCCCTTTCTTTGGAGCACACCATATCAGCAACATGTTTTAACCCTTTCTAAACAGCAGTCCAACTCCTAGAATCTCACTATGATATGAAGCGCCAGGCTTCTGTGATGTCCCCACAGGATGGGGTGAGCTTGATAGCTAAACCTAATTTTGCTAAAAAATTTGGCAAAAATATGTTTTTATTCGAATTTACTCAGTTTTTTTCAAATATTTCAGAAAATGCATTTATCTTTATGCTTGGTGAATTCCATAATTAAATACATATAAATTTTGCAGTTGTAGTGATATATGTAGACAATGAAAGAGGAATTTTAAAACAAACGTTTAGCATTTGTTAAACAACAATTGAAATATTTAATGTAAAGCAATAAACCTACACAGGCACATCCACACACACGCACATATATGTATACACAATGAAATTTAAAATTTGTTTTCTGTGTGATATAATCTGAAGCATGGATCCATGCAGTCCTATATTACAATCTTTGCACTCAAAGATGTTTCTCCCAAAGCTTACTTCCTCTGCATAGCTTGGGAGCAAAAAATGCATCTTCTCATTTTTTCTTTGTTCTCATAAAGAATTAGAGATGGAAAATGCCTTTCTCAAAGGCGAAATGGCATCATAAATATCGCTTTTGTTTTGAAATCTTAATACAAGAAATAAAAAAAAACTACCATTCTCACAAAAGAAAGAACACTCTACACTACTTATGATAAGAAGAAACTAAATAAAAATTGGACTTATGACAGATATTCTTCCCTCAAAAAGCCACTTGAAAGAAAGAAAAACAAAAATGCAGGTGCCCAGCATGCTTTTTTATATTACGGAATCATGCTATCTACTCTTCAGAATCAAATGAAACAGTCCAAGGTCAAAGTTCAGGCATCATAATTCCCATTTATCTCTGTACCATGGGCATAAGCCACTATATGTTAGAATTAAAATTGTTTACATTTAATTTCATATGACTATAATGTATATGTTACAGTAGTCTAGCCAGGCCCTAATCCTCTGAGACGCAGACGTCAAACCTGCCATCCGAATGCTACTGTGACATATATGACACACCCGTTTGGAAAGGGTTAAAAGATTATTATTTAAAAGTTCTTGACTAAAACAGTTATTGTCTAGCTCTGCAAATTCTTATGTATACATAATCATACAAGACTATTAGCAGACCATAACATTTTTAGGATAATGGAATTACTCTAAACTATGTTCAAATAGATTCTTTAGAAATATTTGTAAAATACTTACGAAGCCAAGGCTTCTGCTTCTTCTACAGATTCAGGCAACTGCCTGTTGTGGGTTTCAGGTAATGTCAATGCCAGTAATCCAGATATAATTGCTGCTACAGCAAATATTATCATTGGCAAAGGATTATAGACTTTCCTCTAAAATAAAATTCAACAGAAAAAAAGATTAACATTTTAAATAACAGAAAAGTACTGATGCTTTATAAAATGCTTCTTTGTACCTTTTTTATGTAATAAGCTGTAATTACTATTGAAGATGTATCCTACAGCCTGCAGTGAGAAAATAATGAGACTAGTTTTTATGAAGAATACAATACAAAGTTGGTAATCCGGACTTGTCGGACTTATACGATTCCGGATTAGGAGTTTTTCCGGATTTTAGATCATCAATTTAAATCTGGTAAGATGGCATGCAGAAATTATACAATTAAAAATATGAAACCGTTATTTATGTAATGTCTGATGATTAAAGAGCAATTATGATCTAAAGGTATCAAAATTTACAAAACAAAAAAAAAAAAAAGGCTTAATATTTATTTGTTTACTTTATTAAACATTTCTTTTAATGCAAGTTGTTTATAGAAAATAACTCATTTTTTTGTGCTAAATGCGCATGCGTAAACACATTCCGTGCATGCGTAAAGCATATAAAAAAAAAGTTTGTGGCTTTGAGGTCCACCGGATTACGGACTTTGTACTGTATTAATATTTCAAGGAAATTTTAAATACAATTAAGTCTTATTATAGCCTGAAATATTTGAATATAAAAATAAAACACAGCATTAAAAAGACCAATGTGATGTCTGATGGATTACTTTGGTAAATACCAGGGCTGTGGAGTTGGTACGGACAATGACAGACTCCTGAAATTTTAATGACTCCAACTTCTTCATATATATAACGTATTACTAAATGTTAATGACTCCAACTTCTTCATATATATAACGTTACAGCTTTAAAAAAATTTTTTTTATTATAAAAGTAATAGATGCCATAGAAAAAAATTGATGCATATAGCAAATTTTTTACATCGATTTGCATTTATTATGAAATGGAAAAACTGGCATTAGTTATTTTTAAAAAACAGTAAAACTTTGGCAAGATTTTCTTTGTTAGAGGGCCATAGATCCGATTTGATAAACTTCAGAACTGAGAAAAGTGTTTCCACCCAAAATTGAGTAGGAAGAAAGAGCTACTACTGTTACGTCTACTTTCTTTAATGTTTCAGGATAGGTTTTCATAAATTCTAAAAAAGGTGTCTTGCAAGAGCAATCATATTTATCTATTTCTTCAAATAACATGTATAAATCTTGTTTGTATTTTTTCATTTTTATATCTAAAGGCTCTTGGTTCGTGCCTTAGCCTTTTCAATATATCCCAATATTTCTCAAATCTAATTAATCGTGAAGAGGATGATAGAGACTCAGTTTGTAATGTCTGCATTTGACTGTCCTAATTTGAATACCCTTGTTTCGAGAATAAATTTCATTCTTAAAGAAATTCATAGATGGCTTCTTTGCCTTTTTAATTTGTTTGTGATCCACACAAAATCGCCATTTTGGATCTACATATATTGAAAACCGCATGATCTTAATTGTCTAGCAACTAGTTTTCTCTTTTCTTCATCGAAAAAGGATTTCTTCTGCAATAAACCCTCCATTCAGAAAGACAAAAACCACAATTCTTCAATCTGCCTTTGTTAATTCTTCAGATTTAGCTTTTTGTGGTTATATATGGTATAAAAAGAAGAGTTCCAATTCTGCAAGATCATTCCACTGTCTTTCGTTAGTGAAACATAGGGTTAGCTACTCTAACATTCTCGTCCCCTGTTAATTCTTCAGATTGTAGCATTTTGTGGCCATACGGTGTTGATAGAAGGATTTCCAGTTCTGCAAGATCATTCCCAGTCTTTCTGTTAGTGAAATATTAGGTTATTTTACATCTCTGAAAAAGTTCTTAATCCTAACAACCACTGTATCATCAATATGTATTTCTCCATTGCATTGCTCCTTTTCCCTGCTCCGTCCTAAGATGGCTCAATTTTGGGAGTTCTTGCTGCTTACTAAATTCACCAATGAGATTATTAACTAAATGAATTAGTTTAATCAATAATGGCAATATATCACACCCATCCTGCTCTCCTTAATTTATTTACTAATATGTCAATAAAATAGAAAATAACTATTTATTAATATATATAGTTTATAAATAAAAATATTATCTCAGTTAGTCATTAATTTTTTTCAATTCACTTTAATTTCATTTCAAATTCAAACTGTTCAACAAAAACTGGAGTTCGAGTCAATGTGTTTTTTAGCGACTCCAACTCTGACTTCTTTTACCACCAAATCTACTCGACTCCGATTCCGACTCCACAGCCCTGGTAAATACCATTAAGAAAATTCAGCTACGCAATTAAAAAACTTCTCACTTGCTTTAATAATTGGTTCTAGTCAATAATATAGAATACAATTACTTAGCTTTAAACAACTGATCAAATATCATGATATGCAAATTTTTATAGTAAATCTTTATAAAGAATGCTACTGTGCTATGTGAAAAACTACTTTGTATTAAAAAACATTTTAATGATTATAAAAAGACTCAAATAGCCTACATTTAAATTAAAAATAAAGAACTAATGTTAAACACAAAACAAACTAAAAAACATAAATGATTTTCATATATTATAAAATGAAATAGAACAACTGATAAAACATATATAAATTATATATATGAACTGAATACTATAACTACTATACAATAACTGAAAAAACATATATTTGAACATAAACTTTCTTTCTTTAGACATTTATATCTACACAAAACCACATCTTCTGATCATAAGCACTTCTGTTTATCTAATCGATTTATGGACTCTTTTGTTTCCAAGAAATTCTTGAAATAATTTTAAGTCTGAGAAAACACTTATAATCCAAAAAAACATTAAGCATAATTGATTCAGTAGTGCTCAAAATTATAAGAACAACAATAGTTTGTAAACAGAAGAACAGTAAAAGAAAAAGAAAGAAGAAACTTACATAGCCTTTATGAAACTTACAAGAAAGAGAAAGTTAAATTACTGTTATTATAACAAACCAAAGACCTATATAACTTTCCCTCCTCATTTTGAGGTTGGACTAGTCAGACAGATTCCATTCCAACTTTTGATTTGGAGCCCTAACTTTTGAACTTAGACAAAATTAGGTTGTTACACCACTGGCTGTAAACAAAAAGATAACTATCTAGGCAGAGACTCCAAGACCACCAAGGCATAAAAATACGTAATCCACTCCAAGCTATAATCTTACTTATTCTTTGTAATTGTTTTACGTTCCTAAAGTTAATATTTTAAGTTACTTGTCAAGCTATTATTATGGGAGGAAATTCTCTTCCATGTTACATTATGTAATCAAAATGCAGAACATGCATGTCTTTATATTAATTATGATGATTTTAGATTGACCACATTCTATGATAAGGTAACAATGATCAACATTATTTTAAGTCATTGCATGTTCTGAGGAGGAAAACTAAAAAAAAAAAAAAAAAAAAAAAAAAAAACCCAAGAAGCTTGGAAATTTCACAAAAGAAAATCATAGCATAGTTAATTATAAGATAATAAAGGTATTATAGCAAATATCGTTAAAAGGGATCATGATGTGTAACCTTATTCCGTGTATTAGCTGAATTCTTCCCCCCCATAAGTATATGCAAAATCATTTTTTCAAATAAGTTTTTACAGAAACATTTTAATCTGCATAAATCAGACTGTTTTCACTAATACTAGGATGAACTGCAGGAAGAAACGGATACCCAACAGAGTTAATAATTCAGAGATCAGTAATAAAGGAAGATCAGTGATGGTTCGGAATGGCAACTCAGCAAAAGTTGAGGACAATTTGGTTTTTATATAATAAGAATTCCAAGCTTTATTTAAACTTCTTAAATGACTATTGGCATATCGTAAGTCATTAGGAGGAAAATAAATCCACATAAATGTCAGAAACAATGTATGAAACATGTTAATATGATTCACATATGCTCACACAAGTCGTAAAGTCAAAAGTCGTTAATCCGAACTTGTCGGGACTTCGGCGATTCCGGATTATAGATCATCAGTTTAAATCTGGTAAGATGGCATACAGAAATTATAAAATTAAAAATATGAAACCGCAATTTATGAAATAAAGAACAATTATGATCTAAATCTAAATGGTATCAAAATTTAAAAAAAAAAAAACAAAAAAAAAAAAAACAACTTAGTATTTATTTTGTTTACTTTATTAAACATTTCTTTCAACGCGCGCATGCGTAAAGCATACATTACGCATAGTCGAAATTAGAAAATTGCAACCAGAAAACTATTTGATGTGTATTCGTGATATTTATAATGAATTTGATTTAAATCATATAAAAGACAGAGTACATCGAGATGAAATACTACATTTAGTAATGAACCATAAGCCGAATAAAATAAAAACATCTGCCCTGAAGATATGGATAGTGCTGACAGATCAACTTCCAGTTCATTGAGCGCCGCGACGTTCCCCTACCCCGCAGAGCAGCGTGAAATTGATAAACAGATTTCGGAATGATTAGAGAAACAAAGGATATGCCTTTATCCATTTTTTGCAGCAATTCCACTTTTTGTTTAATGGACTTCGAAACACACTTTCGCTTTGTAGATCCTTTTTACATATTAGTAAATATATATCGGAAATTCTATCTGACATAATCGAAAGTTCAAGCTTACTTTTATAAAATTGCTCTAACAGTCTACAAAAAATAATAAGCCGGATCCAATTCGAAGATTAAGGAACAACACAATCTGCAATATTAACTGAATTAGATAATTTTAGCTTAACTTATACCATCCGTTATACATTAAACGCATATGCGTAAACGTATTATGCGCATGCGCAGAAAGTTTGTAGCTTTCAGGTCCGGATTATAGATCATTCCGGATTATGGGTGTCCGAATTAACGACTTTTGACTGTACTTAAGAATTTATAAGTTAAAATGCCATACGTAATGTATGGTTTGAAATTTAACCTTTTCCTGACAATATGCCTAAAAAAATAATTCAATATCTTGAAAGAAAGGATGGAAATATAAAATATTAAATATGATCACAAAGAAAAATATTGAATTTTTAGTACCATGTACATATTTTAAATTTACATTAAAAACTACTAAAAACTAATTAAAAACTAATTAATTTTATATCAAAAATGAAAAATATATTAAAAAATACATTATTTTTTCCACAGGTTAATATTCATATGTAATTACCTTTTTTTTTTTTTTTTTTTTTTTGGTGGGGAGAAGGAAAATATTTAGTCAATCACTCATGAAATTATTTTGTTGTATATGGTAATTTCAAGCTTTGCCTACATAAATGACTTAAAACAAATGAGTGTTAATTTTCATGAAGCAAGCCTGGTAGATTTCCTTTTTCATTTCTCATTCCAATCGCAAATAGTTGCATACTGGCATATGTCAATAACCAGTCACTCAGGAAGAAAGATGGGGAAATTCCTCCAAGTTCAGATATTTTACTTTGCATTATAACAAAAACTTCAAATTCAAGTCTTAAAACTAAAATAAATCAATTACCTCAGTTAAAAACTTAGCAGTATATAGCAAAGAAATCATCTAAATAAATGAACTACAGAATACTACAGAACTTACAGAAATACAACTCTGTAAATAAAATATTTAGGTTCAGAGGAGATCATGGCACACAATTACACTGAATTTTCAGATTTCAGGCTTATAAAGGCTTATTTTTCAAAAACCCACAGTAAAAATACTCATCATCACCTTCTATTAATAAATTAATTATTATTACAGAATACAATATTTCAAATTACCAATTCATTGATGAATGGAGCTATTATACCTCCAAGTCTTCCACACATGCTACTAAAACCTATTCCTGTGCTCCTCAGGACAGTAGGATAAATCTCTGCAGAATATATGTAAATGATGGCAAAAGATGCAGCTATGGCACTCTTCCCTATAACTGCAAGCATCACTGCAACCCAAGATAAAGCTATCATGTGGAATAAAGGGAAAAAATAAGAAGTATAGTAGTTTATAATGATTAATTACTAAGAATTTGTTTTTAGATAGAATAATGAAGTGCATTTTTATCTCCAAATTTTATTCTTAACCCTTTGTTGCTTAGTGTTGCACTACATGGAACACCCATCTTGAATTGCTTCTGAAACCGTTAAATTCAACCGTAAATGGATAAAAATGCCTTTATAATATACTTTGAACTTCTCTTTTTAAATAGTAGATGGCAGCATATCACAAAGAGACTCAGAATTTTCATTTATGATGTGTTATTAAAATCCACTTATTTTCTTTCTTTCTTTTCTTTTCTTTTTTCTTTTTTTTTTTTTTTTTTTTGTGATAAAAACAATTTGTTTGAAAAATAATTTCTGTATAATTTTTATGGCTGTACTTTATATTATTTGTTATACATATATTTTTAAATTTTTCATACAAAAAGCATGCGCTGAATCATTGAATAAAACAGGGTGTTACATTAGTGGGAACACTGCGCCTTTAGCGATTTCATGTTATTATATATCAGAAGCGATCTAATGACCATCTGTTTTAGGAGAAGACATCTGTTGTATATGTTTTCTATTTCCGTTGTTTTGGGTGGAATGAATTCAAATGAAGCAGTCTTGAGGGGTGAGGTGTGGTTTGTGCTACGAAAGCCCTAATATAGGCACCTTGAAATTTTTGTGAGTAGTTTTCAGGTGGGAATTTATCAGTATCTCAAGTCATCTTTACTTAGGCAGCTTCGCAAATTTTTTGCTGTCACTTTTTAGTTCATAACCCATTTATTTTCAATAATTGTGTAGATATTTTTTGTGTATGTATATCTTATTAACTTAGTTTCCTTTATCGTTACTATTAATTGTAGTTAATTTTTTAGTATCAATTTTCCATAAATGGTGTGGAGAGGTCTAACTCTTTTCAAAGCTCTAAAAGTGCTTCATGAATTACCCTCTGATTCTGAATCAGAGCATGAAGATAGCAGAGATACTGAGATATATACTCCTGATCAACTTATGTAATCCGATGATGATATGTTGGATGAAACTCATTTATTTGATGAGAAGGTTGATAATCCATCTCACCCAGGCCCCTCTACACAACCTCAAGTTTTTAATTGGAATTCTAAACATATCATTGCATGGAACAGAAGTTTTGTGTTCAAAACCTGCAAAGTCGGTTTGTGCTTCTATCAAAAAAGTTGTGATATGCTTTGAGCAATTTCATGAAGCTAAGAAATCGAAAAAATTTGTCAATATTTTTGTATATAGGACTTGTGTATACATATATATTTATTTCATTTATCCATATTGTTCAAGAATGTTGTATATATCCAGAAAACCATGCATACAACCATTATACAGCGTTTTTTCATTACTATACAAAAGCTTCTACTCATTTCTGTGCTTCACTGCAATGCTCGCTTAGTCGCACATTTAAGAGCTCTATCGGCGCAGTGTTCCAACACATGGAACCCCCACAGAATTAAAACAGTAAGTGCAATTTTTACAAAATTTTATCTGTATACTCCTTTAGACCTAGCTAGACTGCATACAACTTTTTTGTTGAAATTCCGACTTTAAAGTAAGTGTGCCACAAATTGTTAAAATATTTATTTTGTTTTTCTACAACTAAACAAAAATTTAACTTTTATTTTTAGATAAAGTTAGAATATCTCAATTTTGTTTGTTTTTTTTGGCTTATCTCACTTGCCTGACAGTGAGACTGAAAAGGAAAATACAAGTACATTATGCCATAAAGGAGTTGCATTACACTCTATGCACACAGAAAGTTTACCCAAGATTTTGCCAATGATGACAAAATTGAAGTATGTAGTCGACTGCTACGCTAAACCACTGAAATTCGAATAGCAGGGATAACAATCTGCAGCCACACTGATGAAAATATCCGAAGAGCTGTCTGGGTGGGTGGATGGGGTGTGATTACACATATAACTATGCTACTCATTAAATAATTTCTGGGAACTTTGTGAGTTATCATATAAATATTTTTGGTCATATGGTGCATTGCCTGATCAATACTGTTCGGTAGCTTTTTAGCAACGTGTAAATACTCAGAAAGTACCAAAATTAATTCTAATGAGTACAGTTGTATTAAAAATTAAACAGAATGATTAAATAAGTTACTTAAAATAAATAAAAATATATTATTTACTAAACAGGTTATTATATAATTCCATGAAACAAAATACAGATTTTCAAATAACTACTTTTTGATACTTTTGGCATGCCAGAACGGAGAAAAGCAAATTCTCAAAGTTTTGCATGTAAGAATAATTGCATTATAGTTGCTTTTCTTCAATCCAGCATTAACCATCTGGGCAGTACTCATAAATATTCATGTATAGATAGATACATTTACATGCTTGTCGGTTATTTGTGTGAATTGTTAAGTAGAAAAAAAACCACATTATCAAAAATGGATCTTGAGCATCAAACATAATGGCATCACTTTTTTTTTAAAAAAACCTCAATTAAGTTGCATAACTTTATGGTAGCAAAATATTTTGATGAAACTATTAAATAAAATGTATGAGCTAAAAATAATGATTTTTATTACTCTATTTTATTTCAATATTTTCTTTAATATAATCACATTAAAACATGAAATAATGTTTTAAACACTACTGCTTACCTTGAGGAACAAAGACAGTTGACCCACAAGCAAGGCCTCCAAATACCATTACAGAACATAAAACATTTCTCCTACCACAATAATATAAAGCCCAAGTAGCCAGAAATACAGCTGGGATTTCCACTGCAGCTAATATTGCAAAATTGGCATAAGTATTTTTACTTAATTTTCCAGCACTCAATGATAAGCCATAATAAACCATAGCATTTACAACCCTGTAATAATTAAAAAAAATTACAATATGGAAAATGCAGAATGTTTAAAAGTAAATTTAAATAAGCATATAAATTACCTTAACACAAACCTATTTATCTAGTATTCAAACCTGGAAGAAAAAAAAAAAAAAAAAAAAAAAAAAAACACTGCTTTCTTTATATAACCCCCACATACTTACGGGGTAACTGGGAAAGGCATGAGACCCAGCCAAATAAATCCAGCTGGTGATGAGTTATCATCCACCACTGAGCACTTTAAACATTTTGGACTATGTAAACATGGAAAATTCCTGTTTCCTTGTTGAGATTCAAACCATGGATCTTGCAACAGCTAGCTGAACGTGCTAACCACTTACATCATGACAGCATGCACAGAGAAGGGGATGCAATAATTCTTTACAAAAGGAACCTACATTTTCAGTTTTGAAATAATGTTAAAGAGTCTCCTTATGACACAGTGCATATATCATTGCAATTTTTTGAAGTATAGGATTCTCTGCAGAGCAAATGCACATAAAGTGCAATATATCTTACTGCTCCAGGTATACTAAATGAAAACTGCAGAAAATCTTTGAAAATTTTTCATCTTACAATTGAAAGTGAAGACTAACTGTATCCTAACAAACGACGATCTCCATAATCAGACAGTAATCAGACTTTCCAAGGAAATTAAATTTCTGTACACAAAATGTTGAAATTTAAACTACTAACATTTAACATTAATTTATTAATTATTAATGTACTCTCAATATCAACAGAACTAAACTTTTTTGACAATAAAACTTAATAAATAGGAACTTCACACTTGTGCACATTTTTATTATGTCTAAAAAAGAATTATTAACAATCAACTATGAAAACATTACCAATTAAAAGAAATATTCATTGTCCATTTTCTCATCTGAGATGTACGCACTAAGTTCATAGGTGAATTTGACTGTTGTCGCTCATCAATTTCAGGATCCGCATTACTCTGAAAACAACGAATATTTACTATTTATACATTTAAAACATTACTTAATTTTTAAAAGTTATTCTTACACAATCTCCTTCTTTGAAAATGTGAACAAGTATTCATTTCCTGAATTTACAGACACCATCTTTTTCATAAAAAATTTGATGTGGACACCACATGAATTTCTTGTACAGCCTATTAAATGATACACATTTTTTTTTTGATGGACTTCATTTAAACTTATTCCTGCTCAATCCCCCCCCCAAAAGTTCCCATAGAAATTAAAATCCTAAAAATTTTCAAATGCATGATTATGTGTTGGTCAATGAAATTTGTTAGACACTATAGTCCAAATCCTGCACACCCCCCAAAAAAAATTTGCTTCAAAAAGTTACTATCACTGGTTTTTATTTTATTTTTACCTTCATTTAGTACTTTCATACAGAAATTCATACTCTCAGCAAAAATGTCTAATGACAAAACATCCGCAGTCGCATAACCAGTTTTGGTAACACTTATCTGCTATTGCATCGAATATTTTCAAATTATAAATACTATTGATTTGTTATTCCCATTGTCTGTAATTATGCCCACTGAAGTTTTTGCAACTGATTTCAACCTCTCCTCCCCCAAATAAACCATCTTTCTGAGGCAAATGCTGCCAACACTGTTGTTTGAGTAATAATCTTTTGACATACTTTTTCTGTTTTGCACAACTGCACATTGTGTCAAAAATATATGCTTTATGAGGATGCTCCTTTTCATATTTTTTCCTTTGTAATATGTACAATTTTTTTTAAAAGTAAATTCTGTTTTTCTGAGTTAATTTGGTTGTTTTCACTTTTAGAATTAATTTTGATGTTTTGTTTCTTGGTACCAAAAAATTATTACCAAGAATATGTTTGCCAATATAACTATTAAATACTGTTTCATGTTCATTTCTTCTTCTAAGGAATGCTCTAGATGTCCCAATTTTTCATAATGGCACAGAAGCTAAGGTACAAACATGTGGTCCTTCCCCCAATTTAGGTAGTTCTGTAACTAGCAGATATTTTTTTTTTTTTTTTAACAATATTCTGCCCTTTTCTCCAGTGTCCTATTCATGACTTTTGAACATACCCTTGAAGAATTTCCAGATATACAGTGAAGCAGGATCTTAATGAAATTTATGCTTTGACTTCTTGAAATCCATACTTTCATCATAGTAAGTAAAAGCATGGCTAATAAGGTAAAGGCATTTCAAAATAAAGCTTTTGGACTTCATATAAAAACTTTATTTTGCAATGGAGACAGTATTTTTATTGATAGCACCTGTTTTGAAAGGCTGGATGAACAACTAATCAGACAACACCCTGAATTTTCATTCCATGGTGGCTGATTGTTCCTTGTTGTTTACAACATCAGTTTGCAATGGCTCCATTATGAAATGCATGGTTTGAATTCCATATTCATATATAATAGTAATATAGAATGACAGTCAGAGGAAAGGAGATGGAAATGTTAGATAAGCAAAATTAAAAACTTTTTGGAAATCTGGAGCCAAATTAAACACAAAAAATCATTAAAAAAAACACCTAAGGACTTTTATGGGCTGCACGAGTCACGAATCTAGTGTTTAATTACTTTGAGCATAGTTGCTTTTATTTCTTCATATTAGCTATTCATTGGTTGAATTAATTTAAAAACCTTATGGCTGTCTCAAGATTGAAATAAATTTTTTTGCAAAGTATCATGGATAATTTCCCCCAAAATATAATAAAACCCTATCTATTTAAAATCTTATATTTATATGAAGTCAAATATTAAGCAAGTTGTATCTAATAGTTTAAAATTTCATCCTGATTTGTTATAGCATATTTATCCATAATTAATTTCTAGAACACTTGAATGACAATCTATGAAATGACCTTTTTCTTTTTTATCTCTCATTTACAATTAGCATTGTTTTTATTTATCACATGGCAGCCTGTTGGTCACTAGGTCATAAGGCTGTGTGCTCTCCAATATTTTTCTGCAAGACAATTAAAATAAGATAATCTTAAGCATTCATCAATGTCAGCAGTGGTCATATCTTGTCCAGTTGAACATAAACACACACAATACACACAAAAGAGTTGACAATATTAAAACAAAATAAATGGGCACAGAGACAGTCATATTCAGTCAGAAGTCTAAAAAAAGCACCTCAGCTGCATGAGGAACAAGATGGAAATGGTGTTGAGGACACTCCAGGATTTATTACAGGAAAAATGAGCAGCTACTGTATGAAAGGACCATCTGAAGATCTTTTAATCTCCAGTTTTGAAGAATAAAAGGGCAAATTTCTATCTGGTTTCTGAATTAAACTGCAATCTATTTTTGCAAAAAGGTCACGGTGGGGGGGGGCACACACTGGAAAGAAACTTCACGCTGAATTATGTAGAGATTTGCACTGCTGGATATAAGGGCTCTTATTCTCCTGATTAGATCATAAAGCCTGAAGAGCAGATGTTGAATTGAAGAGGATCACAGCCCTTTAAAGGAAATTCTGGCAAATGGAAAGTTGCTGAAGAGTTACATAGATTGATTCCAGCTCACTACCAAAATGGATCTTTTCCAAATGGCACATAAAAAATGAAAAGTTCACAAAAAATACCAGTCCCAGATCCTTGACTAGAGTGCAGAAGGCACCTGTATATATGTGAAGCCATTTATAAATAGGGTAGTAATCTGAATATACATTTTATAAACCATATTTACAGTCTCTCTGTTACAACCCCATTTAACTCTAGCCATTTAAGAATAAGGAATCTTTTTTAGATAACATGCTCGGCATGTTCCCTCCAAGTTAGTTCGCTGTCAAAGATTTAGCCCATGTAAATTGAAAAATCATTAAGCTGTATATGTCTATCCTGAAAAGATAAGTTACCGTAATTTCCGGAAGAAACGCCGCGGCGTTTACGTGTTTAAAACTTAAATTTTCAGCGGGTGCGGCGTTTCTACCCATGTGACATTTAGGTGCACTAAAAATAAAATATTTCCTATGATGGTCATTGTACATAGTTTGGATGGCCTTCTCATTGTGCATAGACTGGTGCTGTTCCCACACAAAAGACCACTCAGTTGCTTTTTGCGAACGTTATTTTGTTTACATTCTTTCCCTTGAACGGACCTACATGCCTTATTCACCCTAAACGAATCTCAGAACAATAACATTCTTCCCCCTTTCAAACAACATTCTCACAGTTTGAATAGTCTCTCTCCTCTGCTATTCGATGAATCTTCCAGGACCCATCCTCTCCCCACCCCTGCCTTTTCTGCAATTTTTTTCAAAGGCAGACACGACTCCACCTGCCTCGAAATAACCGAACTCTAACATATTTCCCCTTCAGCATGAATGGATTTTTCTTGGCATTCTGCCAAATACAGATCCATCATTTGGGTACAAGTACTTGTTGGATAGTTTTTAATTAGGGAGCGGAAAATTTTTTGAAAATGTCTTTAAACCGGCACAGCAGCTATAAATTTCTTACCTTTAATTTATTGTTGAGTTATGGCTTCATTTCATGCATTTTTCTTAACTGGTATGCCATATATCAGAACTTAGGTTGAGATTTTGCATCTATACAGCCCACAACGATGTCATGCGTACAATTTAATCTATTGCGGCATTTACGCTGATGCGGCGTTTCTGTGTAATTTTAATTTTTTTCCCGCCATTTTTCTCGAGTGCGGTGTTTACGCTGATGCGGCCTTTCTTCCGGAAATTACGGTAGTTTTATTTACTTTACATGATTTATTGTTACTCTTGCACTAACGCTCAAGTCCAAGTCTAGATTCAAAACAGTATTAAGCTCAGTTTGGCCTTTTTTTTCCTCACAGATACACCAAAGCACTAAATCATCTGCAAATACAGCCAGTTTTGTCAATCCATCAGAAGTCAGAGAGATCATTTATAAAAATACTAAATAGGATGGGGCTAGTATTAAGAGCTATTTGTTCAAGTAAAATAACCTTTATGGAAGTCGTCTTAAAAGAAACTTAATGTTACTTTTGTTATGGAAAGTTCCTTGTGGTAGACTAATTTCATTTTGCTTAAATTTTGAAGTGTTATCTCCCAAAGAGAGTTGTGCAGAAGTGTTGAGAAAGAAAATCTTTGATCTACCAGAGCATCTTGCCATCAACACCTAAACACTGCAGTTTTGGATAATCCTTAATTTCCAAACCCTTTCAAAAATCTGCCTCAAAGACAGAATGTCGATAATCCTGGGCATCTTTTATAGATTGGCCCAGGAATGCGACATGTTGGCTAATTGATTGGAATGTTCTAAAATCTATTTGTGTTGCAGACAAAAGATTATTTGTCTTGATATACCAATTAAGATGAAAAACTATCACCCCATGACTTTTGATATAATGCAAGACAAGGAAACAGGCTGGTACCTATTAAAATCATCTAGAAGTTTATTCCTTTCCTAGACCCTTTCCATTTTTCGTTTGTTTAATGGCTTCCTTAGGTTCCAGTATGCTAAAATCACCATGGAAACATCATGTCCTAGTTCTTTGAGCTGAGAAGAACAACGTTCTTTAATTTGCCTTCTGATGAGCTTCTGTTTTTTCTTAAGATCATAATTCAATCAACCTTTGTCTTTTAGAATAAAAACAAATAAAAGCATTCAAAATATCTCTGCCATCAGTTTCAAGCTTTCCCCCACCTCTAATTGGTTCACTAATTTTCTCATGACTTATTTTAAAATTTAGTCACAAAATTATAGATCTTTTTACCATCCTTTCTACAGTAAATCTTTAGTAATAAAACCATCAAAACAACTGCATTTTGCAGTTAAAATTTCTTTACATATAATATTGCTACTCTTTCTCCGGTATTGGATGTCTTCTATCCAATTCTTCTGTATTGGAAAATGAGTACTGTAAAATTCAAAATCATAAAATAAAATTTAGCAATTTGATGTTGCACCAGATATTATATTTGACTGCTATGCATTGCTAACCATCTGCTAATGTGGTTTTTTTTTTTTTTTTTAAATTCTGTTAACTTCCAATAACAAAAGTAATATTCAGTTTCTTTTAAGACAAATTCCATAAAGGTATTTTAGCTAGCCGAACAGCATTTAATTTGTCATAATTAATTAATTAAAAAAAATTCAAATTTTAACAGTCATCCAAAAGGGTTTGTTAAGTTTTTTTACAAACTCACTGGCCTCGCAGTCTACCAGTCTACTGTCACTCACTCCTACTAACCCCCCCTTTTTTATCTTCTTTTTACTTTACTATTATGCATTATTTTCTTCGCACTCACAACATATACAATTTAACAGCATAATTACAAAAATTTTAGCATAGCAGTATATACATCTAGAAATCCCAATGCAGCGCTAAGTGTTGGCATACATTTTTCTGGGTCCCCCTCCAGTCTCAGTTCATCATATTAATGTTATTTTCTTATTAAGATGGCTTTACAATTTTTTTTCTTTCTATTATTAACATTTTGTGTGCTTATTTTATCTATTAAATATCATGGTAGGCACTTACGCCGTACGTAACTAGGCACTTATGCCTCATAAAAATCAATTCAACAGCAAAATCACAAAATATTTTTAAATGTATAATTACTTTATGCTTGATTAAAATGCATAACCTTTAAAATTTCCAGTATCATAGCAGCATATCTTTAGAATTTCTGATAAAAAGTGTAGCATGTTGAAGATAAAAATGCTTTATTTCATATAGTGTTGTCACTGCTCACTTTGAAATTGTTGAGTTTTTTTAATAAAAAATCCTTAATGTTTTACAAATATGAAACAGATAATAAAACAAATTTGAAATTCAAAATTCGGGTTTTCAGGTGCCCACATTTGGGTGGAAGACTGACTACACTGCCCTGTTGTGCTGTAAATAGAACTGTTAAGAAATGAATAAACCTTGTTCATTTTTCTTTTTTACTAAACACAGCCTTCTACAATGTTCACCTTTACACTACCCAGGTAAGTTTCACTTCACAGTTTGTCATTTTTTTTGGGCCTCTGATAGTGTGCGGAAAATGAAAATTACTTTTAAGTATACTCAGCATTTCTGTGATAACAAAATTTTGGGCTAATAATCAGCTTTTGTTGCTAAAAAACTTCATGGTGTGAAATGAAAAAAAAAACAGCAGTTTGTTGCATGTTTTCAAACTGTTCTAGAAAATTAAATATTATTACACTGCTTATTTTGTGACTTATTTACTTGCTGATACTTGCTTCCTTTTTAAACAAAGATGATTATGGAATCCACATACAACTATTAATTTTCATATGAACTTAAAAATTCTTCTACAAAGAAATAATTTATTACTTACATATTCAGATGCTCTAAGCAGATGTTCAGGTACAGCAACATTGTTCCACCTAGCAGCTTTTAATATAGTCTGCTTTGCCTTATTGTGTTTGCCTTTAGAAATTAACCACCTAACAGATTCTGGCAAAAACCTGTAAAAAGAGTTATAAAAATATTGTAATCTAGGTGAAATAAATGCCCTATTTATGCACTCATAATGAAGTAACAAAATTCAAATATACACTTAAACAGATGCAGATGCAATAATATGCTATAATAAGTAACAATTCATTCCTAGACCTATGACATTAACCAAGATATTTTTTTCCTAGATTCCTAGACCAATGACACTAACCAAGATATTTTTTTTCATAGACATAACATTGAAAGAGGAAGGTTGCACCAGGCAATTTTCCTCATCACAAATAAATACAGATCATATTAGTTTGCATATAATGAAAATTTTTAGACGAAGGGAATTAAAATGTACAACAATTTTATGAAATACAAATAAAATTGCACCCTCAAACTGTTTTGCTCCTTTGCATGAATACTCAGCTAAATAAATGTTAAAGTCTTGTGCAAAAGTCTAAATTCCACCAGTTTAAGCATAAAAAGTAGCTGCCTATCCTGTTAGGGAAATAATAGTCTATTTATTTAACAAATAAGATAAAATAAAATTAAAAAACATACAATGCTAAGAGCTCTAAACACTTTCCACAAACTGTTTGCACACAGCAAATTTGATTGAACAAAAAATATCAGTTTACCAAATAACTACAATTGCAGATCAAATTTCTTATTACATGTAATGCTATATGGGAGTTTCCTGATTCAAAGAAGTACCACTAAATTAGGGATATACAATTAGTAATGGCATGCTGCTTTTTAGCCTTGATAACAACTACCAGATGAGGCATGGATATGACAAATTTACAGAAGTATTTCACAGACATGGTGTGCCAAATGACTTCTAAAATTTTTCATAAATCAATTAAGGATGCTAGATGTGAAGATATGCATGCTCATTTTCCCAGAATAATGCAAAACTGTTCAAAGGGATTTGTCCGAGTTTCTCAGAGTTAATTTCAGCAGGAAGTGTGTGTGATTATGGCTAAGCTTCAAGGGCTATCTGCCTAAGGGGAGGTATGCCCTCATGGATGACTTTCTAAGGGAAACTGGCTCATATACACATTATATATGGGGAAAACCCCGAAAATGCCCATGCAGCCATCCCGTTTGCAGGATTCGAACCTCTGACTGAACTACCAGTGTTCAGCGACTTTACTGCTCGGCCACTGGTGGGCTCTAATTTCAGCAGGAAGAATTCAAGGGAATGCTTTTTGAATAAGGTAGAAACCAACTGGAATCTGCAACAAAAGGACTGTCCTCTTTGCAAATTTCATTTCCATCTGAATGGCAGAAAAGCACAAAGGGATTTAATTAATCACCTAGCAGATTCAAGCTCTTTGTCTCTTGCAGTTTGTAAAATTAATTTTTTTTCTGTCCATGTACTGATATTAGACTCTTAATGTAGAAGGCAGGGGTACATAATTCTCAGATTACAACTTGGTTAATGATGAGTTTTTGTAGGCAAAAAATATCTTGGGTAACAATGCAGGCCTCGGTTTATGATGCATCACCGACTGTTGGTGGATTTCAGTTTTGAAAGATGACCCTACTGACTACTGATGAGCTAAATAAAATTTTCAAGCAGCAATGCGGAGAAAAATAAATAAATAAAAAAAATAAGTATCAGATTTTAATGCTCGCCCAAAAGGGTTTGTTAAGGTTTTCTACACTCTCACTGAGCTCGTAGTCTACCAGTCTTCTCTTGCACTCACTCCTTCTAACCCACTTTTTTTGTCTGTAGGTGTCTTTTTAGCTTTATTATTCAGCATCGTTTTCTTCATACTGACACCATATACAGTTCAACAGAAATATCACAAAAATTTTAAAAGCAGCGCATGTTCAGAATTTTTGATGTAGTGTTAAGTGTCAGCATACTCATCATCACTGCATGCTTATCAAAGCATGACAACTTGAGTAATGACTCATGTAACGATGCTTAAAACATTTTTTTTTTTTTATGTTAGTAATTGACTCATGCAGCGATGCCTAAACATATTTATATTGACATCACACTTGGCGATGATTACACATTTAAGTTAAATGCGCTAAAAAATGTTGCCGAGAAAAAAATTAACCAAAAATTTCTTTCCATATGCTAAAACTGGATTTTGTTGATGATACTCATAGACCCAAAGATTGCATTTAGGGCTATTTGAATTATGAATAACTGATTTGTTATTCACATAAATCCAGAACCTGTGCCAGGGCTCTTACGTCCGCACCGAGTCGCAGAATTTAGGACCTACAGAGTCTGCATCAAGCGATAAGATATCTAGGGCCGGCCCTCAAAAAGGCTTAAGTATATGTGGGAATTTATTTATTCAGAACTCTGATAAGCCTAAAGCATGTTAAAAAAATAGACATAAGTATAATAAATAAGTAAACCAATACAATTCAGGCTTAATCGTCTCAGTGCGCAATAGACGCAAGATAAAATTTAACGGAACAATTTGTTGTTTGTCACCAAGCTCATGATGCATAGCCAAATATGTAGAGTGAAAAATAGCTAAATTTGATGATGTAGCCGCTAATTTTAAAGGTTTTCGGATATCACAAAAAAAAGGTGAAATTTTCCAATTAACGGATTTTAAGAAATGTGGAGAAGCGGTAATAAATGAAGATAATATAAAAGAAGTTTTTCATTGTGATGACAATGCTTCAATCATCATCAATCAATATCAATTCAGCATCAATCAATTAATGAATGGCGAAATCTGTAGTATGGTTCTAGATTTAGAAAATACCGCTACCGATAGTGAAGAAAGTGACACAGAAGTTACTGAAAACGAGAAAATTTTGATTGACAAGTTAGTTGGATTTCTCGAAACAGCAGTGACAGGACTTCAACAATATAACTAAACAAGAGATTATGTCTGTCTACAGAATTAAAGAAAAAGTATTTGCACAAAAAAAGGAGGAACTTAAACAACTTACATTGAAACAAATGTTTAATAAGGTAAACAAATAAATATTAAGCTTTTTTTTTTTTTTTTTTTTTTTTTTTTTTTTTGTAAATTTTGATACCCTTTAGATCATAAATACTTCATTAGTCATAAATCACGATTTCATATTTTCATGTCATCTTACTAGATTTAAACTGATGATCTAATATCCGGAAAAATCCCCAATCTGGAATCGCCGAAACTTTTATTTAAAAGAAGCCTAAAATTTTTTTAATTAGGTTTACAATTATTAAAACGTTGGAATATGCTAGGCACTGATCTCTGCATTTTTATCCAATTTCTTACAACACATAAAATTAACAGGTTTACATTTTAATTATAAGAATAAATAAACAAAAACTGTCACTAAAACTCTGTTTTTTGATAAGTTACACAGAATTAAATTTACATAAAAATACAAAAAGCAGATCATTAACAAGAAATCATTAACAAGCATAAAGTGAATTAATAGAACAGTACATATGAGTAAAATAATTCTTACCAATAATATACAATTAGAATAGCAGATGGTACTGATATAATCAATTCTAAGACTCTCCACTTTCTTACAAAATAAGCAATAAATCCCAAAATTAATTCACCAACAGCAAAAACTATTTGCATAATGTTAGCACATATAAGTCTCTTGGAAGTTCCGATGAATTCTACAGCTAGAAGAAAACAGAAACCTTAAATTAACGTGTTGTCAGAATTAAATGAGCATACAAACATTTCTTTTAAAATTAAGTGAATATATTCAAAAAGAATAATTCAATGTAGAATCAGCAAATTTTAAATATTCTGAAGAATACTATACTCAAAAAGCATAAAGACTAGACACATTTTCTTTTTCAAGCCAAGAAGCAAAAATTAAAATATTTTGTTTTTGACCTATTTGTTTTGGTAGCTTTTATACTATTATTATATATTAATAAATAACATTGTTCAGTTATATATAAATCATTACATCATTATAACATATCATAAGAATGTTACTCTGTAATATGAATAACAAAGTTAATGAGAGCAATAAATTTTACGAAATAAAATGACGAATGTTATCCTGTAATATGAATAAAAAAGTGAATGAAAAGAATAATATAATTTTATAGAATAAAAGAATATTACTCAGGTACTTTCTGATTATTTGCATTCCCACCAAAAAGCCAAGGAAATATGAGGCAACGCACGTCACCCAAAAATAGTTAGTTATGTGTCAACCTACGATATCCTCCAAAAGTACATATGTAGCAAGCCAAGTATCCCCCCCCCCATTTAGGACCAGTCATTTGGAACCTAATCGTCAAGGAAGCGCTTAAAATGTATGACACTTTCTCCACACACATACCCAGGCCTATGCCGACGATTTCTTGTTAATCAGGTATGGCACAAGCCACAGAGAAATAGAGGAAAACTCAAACAATTCGCTTATATTATTTAAAGAATGGCCAGACAAATTTCAGCTGAAAATACTGATACAAAAATGTAAAGCACTTTACATTCCAAAAATGGCAGTTTCACTCAGAAATCCATTAATACGGATATCTAATAAGAAAATCAATCTGGAAAACAATATCCCTTATCTGGGCTTCATAATAGATAAAACTCTTGGCATCAACACATAAAATATATCAGAGACAAGCTCATAATCCTATGCAATTATCAGAAATTCACAGCTGCTAGCAACTGGAGGATATCCCCAAAATTATAAAAACTATGGCACCGTACAGTAACAGAAAAAATTCTACTACATGGCATTTCAGCTTGGAGCAAAAACCTCAATATTCATGCCGAAAGGCAATTACTTTCTGCAGAAAGACTTTTCTCCTGGCAATTACCAAAGTATATCGAACGGTCTCCCTCCCCAAGTGCTTTAAATTCCACCAATCACCATTATAACAGAACATTTGAGGCAACAAAAGTTAAAGTAGCATGACTGTGCCAAACCAGCACATTCAATAATACAATGTACCGTTCAACAGATTACGAAGAACATAAGCAAAATTTAGATCTACATCCAAACCATCTGTACGCAGAAAACCAAATAGCGAATTCTCCAATAGACCTTTTCCTAATGTTGTAAGAATCTATAAGGACGGATCAAAAACTAAAATGCGTGTCAGAAGTGCATTCTGAGAAGCCATCAGAGAAGGTGTGAAATTTGCCAGGAAACAACAAGAAAAGAGCGTTATAATTTCCAACAGTGCCTTAAGGCTTACAGTCTTTATGAGTGATCTATTTTTAGTCAAGGTCACCATTTATCAGAACATTACATCAGTCAGATGTTTATATTTGTGTTGGGAAGGAAGGGAAAACAAGTGCTGAGTCAAGGTCACCGTTTATCAGAACATTACCTCAGTCAAATGTTTATGTTTTGTGTTGGGAAGGGAAAACAGGTGTTGCGCTGACCCAACCTTCAGCTGGAAACGGGTAGTCAATCTCCTTTTTCACTCATTCTTTTCGATGTTCTGGTTGTTTAAAAACGCCTAGAACAAGGTATCTTACATTAGAAGAAGCCCTTCAAAGATTTTTTGATGAAGAAACAGATGATGATAATGTTAATAATGACCAGAATGAAAGTGATATTGTTGTTGTTCCCCCAGAAATTGCAGAAGCTATTGACAAAGAAGAAAGGAATGGCAATGTTTAAATAATGATAATGATATTTTACGAAATGATACTGCTGGGGAAGTTGAAATTCACGTAAGAAGTAAGTTTCAGCCTTTTAAAATCAGTTATAGGTCACACTAAAAAGTTTAAAAAGCAGAAGATCGAAATCTTGGAGTGCATAAAAAAGGAACTGTTAGTTATGTCTCAGGAAGAACATGAAGAAAGAGATAGAAGAGAAATTATAAAAGACAAAATACAAGGTAAAACTAGTGCACAGATTTTCGATTTTCGTTATGGTTTAGACATTTACTCTCTTCTCGTTGAAAAAAACATATACGCTTGGAAAAAAAAAAAAAAAAAAAAAAAACTACCAGAATTTATTGCATCTGAAGCCTATATGAGAAGATTTATTGGAATATTATTGCTTACAGGATATCATTCTTTACCTCAAGAAAAAATGTATTGGTCTTTTGATAAGGACATTTCTGTTCCTGTTGTATGAGAATCAATATCACATTTGCTGTACAGGAATATGAAGCAGAATTTGCATTTGACAATAGTCAAATTGACAATACTGATAAATTATATGAGGTGAGACCGTATTTAAACTTACTAAATATCACAACTTTTTACTAATGGAAATATAAAGTCTCTTTTAAATTTCAGACGCGAGAATGCATTATTCCTTTTGAAAACTCCTATTGAGAGTGTAGAATTAGCCATTTTATCGTAAAGTCCGCTGATAACAAAAGACTTTGCTGTAAAGAGTACCATAGCCAGACTGTTTACAGATGCAAAGTATGTAATGTAGCTTTACATCATGATTGTAATGAAGCTTTTCATGCTTGAATCTTTCAATTGAAATAATCTGTATTTGTAAAAGAAATACAATGTATATTTTAATATTAAATTAATTACAAGAAAAGTGATTTGCAGATTTATAAAACGTTATACAGCTAAAAAATAATCCTGCGCTCCTCTCAAAACATCACACGAGTACAATCCTACTCACTAAACATCCGCAGTCTTATTCCACTGACGTTGTGCGAACGCAACACTCGCTTTTTCCAAGAGCATTTTTATTTTATTTTCAATGTAAATTTATGTTATAAATGCTTATTTTAATATTTTTTATTATTTTCATGAGAAAAGAAACATTCCTTGTAGTTTTAGCAGTTAATGGGTTAAAAGAATTAACCACTACAGGCACAGCAATGACATATTTCCTGACACCACATGGCCCCTTTTCAGCCTATCTGTTTCGCTTCGGATTGCCCCACACAGATTCACGCATGTGCAGCTCAACAGGTACCATCAATCACTATAGGTTCGAGTGCAAAATCACCAAAGGCTTACAGTTCTAGCCGTATACAGCTGAATATGCACAGGTATGGCTGAAACAACTCCAAAAGAGTAAGCTACTATGAAACAAACTCAAAACTCTCATAGACTACCTGGCATTGAACTGCAAAAATCTAAAAGGTATCTAAATAAAAAAAAATATAAAAATCTGAAAGGTTTCAGATTTTAAATTACATCCAAAGGAGTGTTTTTTTAATATTTTGTATGTTACCTTTATTTATTACATATCATGTTCTACATACTCAAATTATAAAATTCAGTTTAACGTCAATATCGCAAATTAATTTTAAAATGAGCATATTTTTAGAATTTCCAATACACAGTCTCGCACGCTGGGGATAAAAGTGTTTTTTTCGTACAGTGTTGCCATTGCTTGCTTTGAAATTGTTTAGTTTTTTTAATCAAAAATTCGATGAAGTGTACAAAATCTTAAATCAATAATAAAACAAATTTCAAATTCAAATTAGGGCTTCCAAGTGCCCATATTCTATGGAAGATTACGTTATTCGAATTTTGATGGCTTTAGGACTGTTGTTTTATCACAATGCAAGAAACATACATACATTTATGCAGATTCTTCATTATTTAAACGATTTCAAAAGTGATACAGCCTTTTAAAGTTTTCAATGCAAAATGCCAAAACGAAATTAATAGTCCTTCACAGCAAATTGCCATTTTGGACTTTAAAAAAAAAAAAAAAAAAAGTCTTGACAAGGTCTCTTTATTAAGCACAGGTTACAAATATTTCGAAGTTACTTTATAAATTTTAATATTCTATAGAGATTTTTGGCTACACCTATCAACATTAGAATGTGCCACCAATTGAGTACAAATGCTGATAGTCATATAACAGGCGGTACAGCAACTCAGCTGGTGGTTAGTTAAGTCAGTAAGCATCTCTCCCCCCCCCAAAGAGCTTTTCACGTCTCCAGATAGTTTTTCATGAATTTCACTGTTTTACCACATTTTTGTCATATTCTGCGAAATCTAAAACTTATTTTTCTGCATGCACAGAGTATAATGTGGCTCACTTAAAGGTATCATGTACCTTCCCCCCTTTTTATCATAGGATTTCAGTGTTAAGGTTATGCATAATGCCACATTTGTGCAATTATCTGATTTTGTTTTAGCAGATACATCATTTCTGTTGTTACATCATTTCAGTGGGAATTGAAAGACACGAAGAGAACAACATCAACTGAGAAGTCTGCATGTCTTACATGCAAAAAAAGAATGAAAAAAACAAAGTATACACAAAGATGCTCAAATAAATGTTTCTCTCCAAAGACACTAACACATTTATGAATATGCTAGACAATGTCTGAATATGCTAGACAATGTCAGAAGTTAGCAACTTTTCAGTGGGAATGCAGATAATAAGAAAGTGCCACTACTCAGGTTATTTATTTATTATTTTTTTTCTTTTTCCATGCATACAAGAAAATATTTACTTATATTTTAACTTTTCTAATCATGTTTAAAAAATTCACTTTTAAAATAATGAATGCAAAAACACAGAAAAAAATAAACATGTTTTACCTAATATATATCCAGTTTGAAAAAGTCCACTTACTGCAGCTGCAGTGATGAAGCGTAATAATGAGAATACATTAAAGCTTGGAGCAAAGGATGTGCCAACTGATGAAACTAACATTATTAAAGAAGCTGACATCATGACATTTTTCCGTCCATATCTGAAAATTGACAAATATATAAATGTTTATTTTGCAACAAAACTCTGTAGTATGAAAAACAGATATATTCTAAATATATTATATACTATAATATGTTATACAGTAAAAAGTCCGAAATCCAGATTCGTCGGGACTCTCGCGATTCCAGATTTTTGCAGATATTAGATCATCAGTTTAAATCTAGTATAATGGCATGTAGAAATTATAAATTTAAAAAAAAAAAAAAAAAAAAAAAAAAAAAAAAAAAAAAAAACAACCCATCATCATCATTTATGAAATAATGAAGTATTTATGATTTAAAACGTATAAAAATTTTTAAAAAAAAAATAATACTTATTTGTTTACTTTATTAAACATTTCTTTCAATGTAAGTTGTTTCAGTTGCTCTGTATTTTTGTGTTAATACCTTTCTCTTTAATTCTGTATAGAGACATAAATTCTTGTTCAGTTACATTGTTGGAAGTCCTGCACCTGCTGTTTCGAGAATTCTGACTAACTTGTCAATCGTAATTTTCTCGTTTTCAGTAACTTCTCTGTCATTTTCTTCACTATCGGTAGCGGTGGCATTTTCTGAATCTAGAATAATACTACAAGATTTGCGCCATTCATTAATTGATTGATGATTGAGAAGCATTGTCATTACAATGAAAAAGCTTCTTCTATTATCATCTTACCATTTATCTACGCTTCTTCCACATTTCTTTACAAAATCCGTTAATTGGAAAATTTCACCTTTGTTTTGTGATATCTGAAAACCTTAAAATTAGCAGCTATCATCATCAAATTTAGCTCTCATTCACTATACATATTTGGCTATGCATCATGAGCTTGGCGTTTAACGACAAGTTGTTCCGTTAAATTTTATCTTGCTTCTATCGTGCACTGAGACAATTAATCCTGAATTGTATTAGTTAAGTTATTTATCATACTTATGTCTATTTCTTGCACATGCCTAAGGCTTATCAGAATTCCGTATAAATAAATTCCCACATCTACTTAAACCCTATTGAGGTCCAGTGCTAGAGATCTTACCGCCTGATGCAGTCCCTGTGGGTCCTAAATTCTGCACCTCCAGATGGCAATAATAGCCCTGGTGCTGGTTCTGGGTTTATGTAAATAACAAATCTGTTATTTTTAATTAAAATAACCCTTAATGTAATCTTTGGTTACATGAGTATCATCAACAAAATCTATTTATAGCATATGGAAAGAAATTTTTGATAAATTTTTCCTCCTCATTTTTTAGTGCATTTAACTTAAATCTGTAATCATCCCCAAACGTAATGTCAACATAAAAAGTTACCATACTCCTTTATTATTCAAATACTAAAATAACAAAAAAATTGTTTAGGCATTGCTACACGAGTCATTACTCAAGTTGTCATGTTTTGATAAACATGAGGGATGAAAGAAAATGTATAATAAATAATAATTTGTCAAGTTGGCATCAGATCAATGATGTATCTATGCGGAATGTTTCGGTTTGAGATGTGTGCCAAGCAGATATGCAGCAACAGAGTCAAATTACTGATCATACAAATTTATGCTAAAATGTTAGTTTCTTCAATAAGAAGGTATTTTATTTAGTGTCAAAGTGAAATTAAGAATCGGGACTCTCCAGATGTGTTATTATGTGTGGAGGGGGAATCGCATGCGTAAAGCGTAGGAGAAAAATGTTGTTGGTTTTGAGGTGCAAATTTTAGATCATTCTGGATAATACGCGTATGGATTTCGGACTTTGTGCTGTATTTGAAACATAACTGTGACAGCATATTTCATGCTTTAAAAATACAACTAAGATTTAATTTTTTCTCCTTTAAACATTTCATTTTATTAAAAAATTAATACAAAAAAAAACTGAAATTCTCTTATTTCATTATTCTTTTAATTTTTTAATAGCACTAAGTCTTTTATGTTTACTACATTTTACTACTGTAGCTTACTTGAACTGGTAATTATTCACTACAGACCTTCTCAGCAAAATGTACTTATAATATTACTACAGTTCATAATAAGAACGGAAGTTTTCCTTCCTTCATGAAAGCCCAGTACTCCCGTGAAACCTTTCATAACCTGGGATGGTTTACAGCAATTACCAGTAATTTAATGGGAAATAAATTTAGGAATTCTAAGGCTATTACAAGATGGCTATTAATTTACACAAACCAAAACATGCTACCTAAAATAACATAAAAAACTCAATAAAGATAACATGTACAGAATACTAGTAATTTCATCTTCTAAAGCTAAAGACGGTAATAAGAAATAAATTTTTAGCAATAATGGCAATGATGATGACATGTTAAGTAGCTATGCAGTAATTAGTAATACAGAAGACAAGTGCACAGGAGAGAGTACAAGAATGCATATTAATACTTCATTTTGTTTGAAACTATTATATCACTACATCTACAGTTATTATGTCTGTTCTGACTGACATGAATGACTCTAAATACAACAGTACGTTTAACAGCTATGGTTGACATACTTTTCTGACTTACTTTTGACATACTTCATTAGAAGAGTTCTTCAAAAGCAATCAAAAGAGCTTGAATCTATGATCACAAAAGAAATATCGATGGAACAAAACTATGATCACAAGCTTTAAATCTCTGTGATCATAGTTTTGTTCCATCAATGTATTTAAAAAATGATATTTTCATTTTCCACACTTCTTCATAAAAGCAAAAATCATCTTAAGATTTGTTCCATAAATCAGAAGATGTACAAATATACACCGGAAAAATAAAGTGTATGGTTATTACATAAAATATATACTGTCAATAATTTATATGCTAAAAAAAGAGCATTGTAATAGAAACTACAATAAAACTTTAGGGCATATGTGAAGCCAAAATGTAAAGTCTTTCCCAGCTTTCAATACAGGCAGAGATCATGCATCATATAATGTATGAGATAAAATGGCCAGCGAAGAAAAATTATTTTGAGTTAAACAGAACTCGAGAATTCAACAGAAAGGAATTTATTACCATAATTCAAACACAAATATCAATCAAACTTAAAAAAATCACTTCTAAGCAGGAAATATAGATATGAATGATACATAAAATTAAAGATATCTATATGAACAGCTTAAGTAACCTTATAAATCGGTAGAACAAGCAAGATTCCTCCAACAAAGCTCAAAATCAGTAATAAGGGCATATCTTAAATTTAGTATTCCACAGAATATCAGATTTTTCAGAAAATTTTGGCAGAATGGTTAAAATTCATTCCATATAAACTAGAACTGTTATAGAATCTAAATAACCACAACAAAGCCAGATTTTTCAACAGTCGATACAATCATTTTGTCTAATAAATTGAGATACGCATTGGTTTCTGAATGAAAAATTTCACATGTGCAAAATTATACTTCTTTGAGTGCAATAGGTTTCACAATGTATCTTTTTTAATAAACAGCAGAAGAAGAAAAGAAAGAATAGATAACCTTGTTTTACCTTACTTTCTTTTTCTTATAACATTATTGTATAATATCCTTTAATATATTTTTCTGTCCACCATTTTCAGTAATATATGAGTGTGATAACATTCATAAGACTTTACTTTGGTTTTATGCAACTATGCTTCTCAACAACCAGTTTAGTTTTCTCTACTGTCTTTCACAGATAAAACAGTGAATAGCTGCAAAATTATGAGACTTTGAATCCTAGTGTGCATGTTTAAACATAGGAAGAATTTTAGACACTTTGGTAAAATGACACAAGAGAAAACACTATGTAACAGCACTAGATTCATACACAAGTGAGTTTGTGCAACAACCCCCTCCCCACAGATGCTGGGGTGGAAGTAAATAAAAGTCCTCAAAACTGGGGTGGAAGTAAATAAAAGTCCAATCTCCTTGAGGTTCTAGCAATCATTCTTTCTCTTTATTATTAAATCCATGGAAAAGACAACAACAACAAAACAAGCTGTTCTAAAGTGCAATGCCAAGCTGTAAAAGGAAAAAAAAAAAAAAAAAAAAATACTGTGATTTTATTCCACCATAAATTGATGCCTGACGAAAACATTTGTACTAATTTGAAGAAAAATTTAATTATTCAAAATGCAGCATTTTTTTATTGGTTTGCTTGCATACGAAGTTTGCAACAAGTATTTCCTACAAACATATGTGACACTTTCTTTTTAGCAAGGACACAAAATTTGCATAGTGATAAACAATAAAATTTTCTTTGAGGTGGTAGGAAAAGAAAGAGAATTTTTTAAATATACAAATAATATAGTAAAAGTTTACAATAAATAGGGTGTCCCTTGATACTTTTTGCCGATTTTTATGACATCAAGAATGGCACAAAAAATTAATGTTTCCAAGATGGGTATCACCCAAAACAAGTTTAACCCAAACTGTTTAGAAAATCAACAAAAGTACTTGCCTTGTGTATTCTTGGCTATGTCTCATCATCAGCATCAGACAACTGCTGCATGCACATAATGCGAATCATGTAGTTCCGGAACTGATCCTAATTCTCCCGATCCCCGTATTTACAACACAACATAAACTCCACAAAAGCAGGAATACGAAATATAATTCGATGACTGTGGAAGATCAAGCTTGCGAAACCTCATGCTTAATGTGGCTTCCACATGCCCTCAATGGTGTTGGTATGAATGCCATTTTCAAGTGCCTTTTTTGCAACAAACTTCTCCTCGACATCCAATTGGTACTTAAGTTCGACCAGACTCATATCTTTTGTCAAACTTGGCATTCAGAGTTAGAACTAATTAAATCTTAATTCATATACCAATCAGTCATAGCTTTCTTACTCTTATCCTCTAAATATGAGGGAAGGAAATGCATTTATCTTAACAAACATGTCTTCATATAAATGACGGGACAATAATTAATTAGAATAAGCCAGTTAATGAAAATCAAAAGTCAATTCAATTAAAATTCTAATATTTCAAAATGTGTTTTGTAAGTATGTGATACACATACTACAAATCATGTAGACCTCAATCACTTAATCAATAAGTTCAAAGCAGATTAAATTTTAGAATCATTCAACAGATGCTTGGAACTCTATTAATGAGTTCCAAGCAGATTAAATTTAAGAAAAACATTAGCAGGTTAAAAAAAAAGGGGGCGACATAACACTGGGGAAACAGAGTTGATTCTGGGTTAACAGAAAACCGGTAACAGCATTGGTATTTGGCGCCATATTAAAGGGTATCTTTTTCTACACCAGAGCCATAATACAATTAGAGACTAAATATAATGAAGAAAAACTTACTTGTCAGCAATTGCTCCAAATCCAGCAGATCCAAACAATACTCCAACCATAAATATGGAATTCGACATTGCTCCATTCCAACTTTTCTTGCACACTATACTAAACTAAAAAAATCATTCAGTAAATAAAGAGCTGGAAGTCAAAAATATCTTCATCAAAACATAAATGTTTAAAACGTACTTCAGAAATGGCAGTTTCTTGAAATTCTGTATGTTCCCATACATAAGACTGACAGGAGACAGTTTTGTTTCTGTTAAATGCCTCATAACCACAATAGTCTTGACCTTTAATTGCTTCATAATGCATACATGGACTAGGAGCAGAATTCCCAAATTCATCAGTAATATTTGGCACTGCAAAATGTACAAATCTCTCCTCATACTGTGTTGTTCCATTATCACAATTAGGAATAAAACATCTGTTGAATGATTCATTAAAAAGAGAACATTAATATCAAGAAAGATACAAAAGTATTAGAATTAAGTATAAAAACCAAAGAAAATTTATATTAATTAGTATTAATTAGGAAACTATATTAATTTTATACTTAGATAGTATTTTAATATGGTATAAATAACTTTTTGGAAATATAGTTTATATAAATTAAATAACAACTGAATTAGATATTTGGTGATAAGTCAAATTACCTTCATTTCATTCAAAATAAACTTAACAGCAGACACGTACATTTTAAAAGCTAAGGATATTATTATTATGCAGATTTATAGACACAGAATCTCATGAAACTTATTATGATTTCCATATTTAAAATATATGCAGTAAAATGTCCAAATTTCTGATTCTTATTTAAAGGTCATATGGTAAACTGAAAGCAGTTGGAAAGAAATAAGGTATGGCAAACAAATTGTGTTAATTCTAAATGTCAATGAATAAATTCACAAAATTGAAATTTCCACCATGTCTTGAAGACTTCATTTTAACATTTCACATATAAAGGGAACTCATAATCACTAAAACTTCAATGGAGTTTAGTTTTATACACAAGATTGATTTGGACAGCATAACTGGAATGTGTCCCAGATGCATTGCATTAAGCTGTTTGTTCTCCATCCCTTTCTAAACGTACAAGACTGATAATTGGCAGGGACAACTCAATCAGCAGTACATGGCCAGACAATGTGCAAATCACCTCTAATACAGTATATGAATGCAGATATATCACCAGCTTATGGTCTTACATTTGAGTTATAGAAGGCTATATACTCCAAGCCCAGTTGTGTAAATGATACTAAACAGAAAACATCACATAAAGCATTTGCACTGATGGAAAAATCTACTAAAATTAGATGATGACTGATATTTTGCTCTCAGTTAAGAACTGATAGTCTGCAGTTAGATTCCATGCATCAGTTCATCGCAGATGAAAGGAATAAGGCACTCTAGCAGAAAGTATAAAATAAAGCTTTTAATAGTTGTGCTAGGGAAATGATGAGACACAGCATAACTGATACAAGTATTAGCTATAGATGTTGGACTACTACAAATCCCTATTGTAAAAAACCAACCTTCCACACATTTTATGTCGACTTTGAGCACAGCAATCTGAAAAAAGCAATAAAAGATGATGGACTTCTTCAAACCATCCATTCTAGCTCCAGCTAATGAAGCAGATGGTTCATCTGCCAAAGCTTGTACTTATGTTAAATGAGATTTCCATATATCATCCTAGAATATTTTATCTCATTTTTAACTTAAATGTTAACAATTAATTTTGTCTCATTAATTTTTTTGTACTATTAAGCTGTTAAGCGTCCCCCCCCCCGTTGTGTTAAAATTTTTTTCTTTAATACTATAAAAAGACATAATTTCTAGTTCAAAGTTTCACTGTTCAAATTCTGTAACTGCTATCATGAGAATTCTCATTAAACAGTCAATAGAAATCTTTTCATTCTCAACAACCCTTTTTTATCACTTTCTTTACTGGTAGTGATATTTATGGATTTAAATCCATACTATTGATTTTGCCATATAATTGATAATTGGGGCACTATGATTACAACGAAGACTTCAGTCATCTTCATTAAATATTTCTTCACATATTCCATTCATCAGAAAATTTCACAGTTAATTTTTCTTAAAGTTGAACCACTTGGTGCTCTTCCCCCCTCATTTTCTCAATGTCAGGCAGTTTGCTCTGGATTCTTTTCTGATGCAACCACAACCGTTTCATCTAATTATAGTTTCTTTTCTCTCTTTTTTTTTAAATAAAAAAGGAAATAGATTTTTATGATTTTGGATTTGCCAAGAAATGAACAAGCAGTTACCCTATTTCTTCAAGAAAGAGATAATCTGTTCTTCACAATAAAAGTCTACATTTGAATAACCACTTAATAAAACGAAGATGCAACTCAAGGGCAAAATGGCGATATTTTTGGGATTTATAAACATACTTTTTTACAGATTCCACTGTCCATTGGTTGATTGCTGCTTAGGATACCATTAACTGAAAAATTTTGTTTCTTACTTGTGATATCAAAAAACCTTCATATTCATGATTGTCACCATTAGGAAACATGTCAGCTGGCTACAAATTATGCCAAAACATTTTTAATAACATAAAGACATATCCTTTTCTGATCTTGCAATGCTCCACACAACAGATTTGATATTAGAACATTTGAAGAAATTTTAGATGATCTCACTACTGCACCAAATTTTAAAAGGCTATTTTATGCCTATTTAAGGCTATTTCATTTCATGAAGTTCTGATATCCATTGGCTGAATGATGTATGTATAATTTTGAGGAAAGAGTTAAATGAAGATGTTATTGTTTATAAAATTGTAATAAAATACAGTAATAACAATATACCACACAAAATAATAAGCTGGATCAAATCAGAACATTAATCCAAAGCAAAATTCACAATAGTTGAGCTCAAGTTCATCAGAATCTTAAATTTTTTTTTTTCCTTCTTCACTACTGGGAGGGGGGGGGGAATCTGAAAGCTTTCGGATTTTACATTATGCTCAAAGGGGCTTTTTTTAATGTTTTGTGCGTTACCTTTCATTATTACATATTATGTTTTTCACACTTAGACCATAAAATTCAATTCAATGGCAATATTGCGAAATAATTTTAAAATGAGCATATCTTTAGATTTTCTGATACATAGTCCTGGGTGCTGGAGATAAGGATGCTTTTTTTCCCTCTTACAGTGTTCCCATTGCTCGCTTTCAAATCGTTGACTTTTTTAACAAAAAATTTGTTAAAGTGTTATAAAATACAAAATTGTTAATATAACAAATTCCAAATTAGAGATCCCAGATGCCCATATTCATGGAGGATTACTTTATTCAAAATTGAATGGCTCTAGATACCGCTGTTTTATCATAATGCAAGAAACATACATACATTTATACAAATTCATCATTATTTAATTTGTTTAAATATAACACAGTGTGATATTATTTGGTGACAACAATTTGAAAAGTGAACTGACATTTAAAGTTTTCAACACAAAATGTTCAAAACGAAAGTAGTAGCCCTGTTGGGCTAATGCTTTTTAGGGTTAAAAAAAATTGCAACATTTCATTCCTCGCATACACGAGTCTTTGGACTTGTTATATACAGATCAGAGATCACCACCAACTCCAGGGCCCGTATGTGTTTAATAGCAAAATTATACAGGATGATTCAATACTGTTGCAGATAATGGTATTTCACAACAAAAGAAATTTCAGCTAATTGGAAGAAAAACGGATTTATGGCTCGTTTGCTTTTCCTAAAGTATTAAATTCTCTGCTTCTACAATATATGAGAAAATAAAGTTTCATGGAAGTCCCAATAACAGATTATTTCTGTTAACACATGTTTGGGTTTGTCCCAATAATAGATTATTCCATTTAATGGTGTCTGGATTTAAGACTTTGTACTGTATAATGTTTCTCTAAAAGATTTGCTACTATTATTTTGATTTGTTATTATCAATAGTTTGTTAGGTATTAGGAAATAAATAACTTGCAATACTCTATTTACGAACACTTTCCTTTACACAAGCAAAAATGCCTCCCATTTAAGCTTGTATCATGTGAATTGTATTGTATGCAGTTGACAGGAAATGGAGACACCATTATTCTGCCAAGAGATTAGGTGGTATTGCTAGATATCCCAGCATATATAGCATTAGCACACACATTAAATATTATTGCCATTGTGGCTCAGGACATAATTATCACATTATCTCAGACACTTTACAACATTAGCAGAATTCTACAAATATATACTGAAGGACATCCAAATACAGCAGCAGTACTGTGGGTTGAACTTTTAGAAACAAACTGAGTGGATATTAAATATTTAATCAAGGCATTGTTCCTATTAATAAAATAATAGTAATAATAAATAAATAAAATAAATTTAAAGAATTTATATAAAGAGGCATATATTGGTTTCGAGTCCCGTAAGCTTGTCGATAATCTGAGCAATCCTTGCCTCCAGATGACACTGTTTATCATGTACTTGCAGAAGCTTTGTGAATTATTACTGGGGATTTTAAGCTGGTGTTCTCTAAGTAGGCACAAGGTAAGATAATGGTCAGGGGGTACCAATCTTCCCAGATACAGAGGTCAGTATTGCTGACAGCATGTTTATTAAAATATTCAAGAAAGCCTGAGGCCTGTAATAAATCTTTTTAAATGGGAGGATGTTGCAGTTAACAGTGTTGCATTGAGTGCTACTCGAGTGATTTAGTAGTATGTGTGGCAACCTTGTTCACATTCATCTCACTCTGTTTGCTATTTGATTTATACCTTGAGTTTCAGATGTTTCTTCAAATATGAGTGTCGCCAAAGTGCTGGTTGTGGATAATGAACACTTCCTGACATTGCCTCCTTGGCTATTCTATCAGCAGTTTCATTTCCAGCCACCCCAGCATGTGTTTTCACCCAGAAGAGTATGATGTTGATACCTCCGTAAGTGAGCTCTTGTTAATTTAAAATTTCAGTTAATTTGAATGAGTTTAAAGCTGAAGTTTTGAAAAATCTTAATTAAAATACGATTTCCTCCATCAAATAATGCTGGATGTTGATGATTTGCACCACAACCAATTCGTTGATGAAACATAGTCACATTTCCCTTTTAAGACCAGAAATAAATACACCATTTCAAATGCACTACAACATTCCTCGATAAAAGTTGATAACATTTTTTATTCACAACCACTGACAGGAGCTGAAATAAGGTTTCACTACTGGGATCCAGAAATAAATACCAAAGCCTATTATAAAACACAGTTGATCTCTGTGACCCCACAAGCTCACAGCCTAAAAATGTACCTGGAAAATTTGGACATCCTTTTTGAGATGAACAGCGATCACTGTTTATTGATTATGACACAATAACTGGTGTTTATTATGCTAACTGGCCAAAAAAGGAAATTAAGTGGCAAATACAGCAA